ACACCTGGGGACCCACAGGTTGAGAACCACTGATATAAGGGATCCTCAGACAGAGTCCCAAGTTGAGTTTTGAGCTGGGATATGCTCTTGCAGTTCTAAAGTAGAAGACAGAATGAACATCTGGATCACTAGGTTGATGTCTGGCTGTTTTGCAATAGACTGACAAGGACTCTTGATTCCTTGTTGGGAAAAAACAATACTCTCTCCACATTCTCCTAAATTATACTGTTGGAATGAAGCTTGGGGTGTCAAGGCATGAGCACCTGTGTGTCCATGCCTGTCTGTGAAGTCAGCTCTGTTCCTGTATTGCAGTGGTTATCAACCTGTGGGTTCCCAGATGTTTTGGCCTTCAACTCTCAGAGATCCTAACAGCTGGTATTTCTGGGAGTTGTAGGCCAAAACGCCTGGGGACTCATAGGTTGAGAACTACTGCTATATTGGAAACAAATCCCTGAACATAGAATTTTTTTGAGCATTTTGCTTGGAATTCCAAAATATGCTAAAGTAGAAATTAGGAGCCTGAGATCTGCCTAATGCTGGCCTAGAATCTGATGAACATATGAATTACCTTATTCCAGGTCTGCTTTCTGTGCAGCCACCCAATATTAGCTCTAATTTGACTGACAACAGCTCTTTAGGTTCACAGGCTGGAAATATTTTTGATAATAGGGATTGAACTTGGTACAATTTACATACAAAGTGTGTGTTCTACCACTGAGCTTACCAACCCCATAAAAATATTTTCAGAGACCAGCAACAGAAATCAAAGACAACTTCAAGACAGCAACTTCGTGCTTGGTAATCTCAACCTTCACACAGGACTGCAAGAAAAGAGCCTATAACGCTCTCCATTGGCCCTGCAATGATTCATAGTCTTAAGCTCCATCAAAATCACGACATAATAATCTTTTTCCTGAAATTCCAGTGCAGTGAAGTTATCTTTAGTGTGCTCCAACTCATGACATAATTACAATTTCCCACACCCTCTGTACATTGTTTGTGTATATTTTCTAGGATGGCTTTTGCTTTCAGATTGACTTTCTCCCCCAGGGATGTTTGGGTGGTGGGAGATGAAGAAGAGTCAACAATGGTAGGATCAAAGTCTAAAAAGGACTGTTTGAAATTAGCCCCGAAGACTGCTACCCGTAGAGAGCCACACACTGCAATCGCCCTATTGGTTTCATGTACAATCTTTGCAAAAAAATGATATTGCACAACACTCTGTGAGTGTGTGAGCCAAAGAGAGGAAGGGTGGGGTGGAGGGGAAGATCAGGATTCTTGAGAAGGAAGTAGGGAAAGTAAACGGAAACAGACACTTTTGGCCACACTGGAACGCCCCCACAAATGTCTAGAAAGAAAGACTTGGCACTGAACGAAGATCTCATGGATCTGAAACGTAACATCTTCATCCTTTCAATCACTACTAGCATCTTTCCTATTACTTCAGAGGCAAGCTGAAAAATGACAAGGTTCCTATTTATACTTACTATTAAGCTCAGTGATTGCCAATCTTTTTTTCCCCAATACCACATAACGCTGACAGCTATGAACATATACTTCCTATCAAAATCATCCATTTGCCCTTAAGGCAAATGGATGTTCCTGATAGGAATTATATGTTCCATTAGGCTCTACCTGATATGCATTGGGGAGGGGACAGAGAATTTGATTCACAGCAGCCAGGAACCTTTCTCTAATTTATTTTGTGTTCTCCAAACAGAATTCAGGCTATTTTGCCCCCTTTGCGTTTTGTACACAGAATGTAAATAGCTGGCGAAACCTTTCATGGCCGGAATCACTGGGTTGTTGTAGGTTTTTTGGGCTATATGACTATGTTCTAGAAGCATTCTCTCCTGATGTTTCGCCTGCATTTATAGCAGACATCCTCAGAGGCTGTGGGGTCTCACAACCTCTGAGGATGCCTGCCATAGATGCAGGCGAAACGTCAAGAGAGAATGCTTCTAGAACATGGCCATATAGCCCGAAAATCCTACAACAACCCAATGTAAATAGCTGTTTCTTACTTTGCTCTCAACAGTATCTCCAAACCCTGGGTGCCAACTGATTAATATCACCTTTAACCCTTTATATTGGTATAGCTCCAACACAAATGCTTCCCAAGAAAAGTAATCCTTACTATGGAATGTGTCCATCTACCTAGTTCTGGATTTTTGTGTATGATTCACTTTTTGAATGCCCTTGTTGTGGGAACATGGGAATGAAGGAGGGCATTGAAATCTACACATGAACAAACCAGGATGAGAGTTTGTTCCTTTCTTCCTGCCTCATGAGCCCCTTCTCACATTCTCTGTTGACAACTTTTTTTGCTTCTTTATTGCACCCCACTTTTTCTCCCTCCAAATATCAGAAATCAGGTAAAAACCAAACCAGATGATAATGATAAAATTGGAAGAGATCACAAAGGCCATCCAGTCCAACCCCTGCCATGTAGGAACACATAATCAAAGCACTCCCAACAGATGGCCATCCTGCTTCTGTTAAAAAGCCTACAGAGAAGGAGACTTCATCCCACTCTGAGGCAGAGAGTTCCACTACTGAACAGCTCTCATGGTCAGGAAGTTCTTCCTAATATTCAGGTGAAATCTCATTTTCAACCATTTGAATTTATGGCTCCACTGTGTCCTAGTCTCTGGAGCAGCAGAAAGCAAAGCTTGTCCACTCATCAACATGACATCCTTTCAAATATTTAACCATGGTTCTCATGCCCTTTCTTCCTTTGCAACTCTCATATTCTCCAGCACCCACTCCCTAGTCCAGCTCCACACAGGCCCCATCTGCACTGACCATTTAATGCAATTCAGACCTAGCTTCAAACTGTGGCATCCAGAAAGTTCCACAAAAGTGTGTGAAAGAAAACCCTCTATATAGATTGTCTTATCACCGTCTGGACCAGGGTTTCCTTTGTGTATCCATCTGCACGGCGAAACCACTTTCTTCAATGTCGGTTTGAAACTGTGTTAAATAGTCAGTGGAGATGAGACCACAGTCTACAACCATACAACAATGCCCATCTTCCACATTGGCACCTGGTGGCTCGCTCTGTTTTTCAAGTTAGTTCCAAAAAGCTGCTTTGCTATAATAATAATAATAATAATAATAATAATAATAATAATAATATACCATCTGCCTGTGACAAAGAATTGGTGGAATTACAAGCCTGAAAAAGTTACGGAAAATAAACACATCAAAAAATTCTGAGACTTCCAAATTCAGACTGACAAGGTTTTGGAAACACAATACTCCTGACCTCACAATTGTGGAAAAAAACCAAGTATGGATCTTTGATGTTGCAATCCCACGCGACAGCAGGATTGATGAGAAGCAACTGGAAAGGCTGACACGATGTGAGGATTTAAAGATAAAACTGCAAAGACTCTGGCACAAGACAGTAAAGGCGGTCCCAGTGGTGATCGACACACTGGGTGCAGTGCCTAAAGACCTTGGCCTGCACTTAAAAACAATTGGCACTGACAAAATTTCTGTCAGCTGCAAAAGGCCACCTTACTAGAATCTGCACGCATTATTTGCTGATACATCACACAGTCCTAGACACTTGGGAAGTGTCCGACATGTGAGCAAACACAAAAGCCAGAACAGTGATCCTGTTTGCTGTTGTACTAATATTATTATGTATCAAATAATAATAATAATAATAATACTTTATTTATATTTCACCCTATGTCCCCAAGTGGACTCCTAAGCTCAACCTACAGCTGACACTGTAGCCAACTCATAAGTCCAACCTACCACCTTAGAGCAGGCATGGGCAAACTTTGGCCCTCCAGGTGTTTTGGACATCAACTCCCACAATTCCTAACAGCCGGCTGTTAGGAATTTTGGGAGCTGAAGTCCAAAACACCCAGAAAGGCCAAAGTTTGCCCATGCCTGCCTTAGTCAAATCTCCCCTTGCCAGCCAGCCAGCCAGCCTGAACTATATCCACACTGTAGAATTAATGCAGTTTTATGTATTGTCTAATCACCTCTCAACAAAAGTTTGCTCTAGGAACTCTCAGGCCATTATATGCTAATCAAGGTGATCAGTTGAAACATTCACCCCGAGCTCCAGCAGACAAGAGTCCTTTGTCCCACCCTGGTCATTCCACAGATATATAAACCCTTTTTTCCTAGTTCCAACAGACCTCACTACCTCTGAGGATGCTTGCCATAGATGCAGGCGAAACGTCAGGAGAGAATGCCTCTAGACCAGTGGTTCTCAACCTGGGGTCCCCAGATGTTTTTGGCCTTCAACTCCCAGAAATCCTAATAGCTGGTAAACTGGCTGGGATTTCTGGGAGTTGTAGGCCAAAAACATCTGGAGACCCCAGGATGAGAACCACTGCTCTAGACCATGGCCACATAGCCCGAAAAAACCTACAACAACCCTAATGCAGTTTTGATCCCACTCTTAACTGCAATCACTCAATGCTATGCAGTCCTGGGGAAGTTGTAGTTTTGTGAGGTATATACCTTTCCCTGTCAGAGAGCTCTGGTGCCCCAACAAACTACAACTCCCAGGATCCCATGGCAGTGAAAGTGGTGTTAAAAGCGCTATAATTGTGCAGTGGAGACACAGTTGTGGAACTAGCTCAGTTTGGCAAAAACTTGGGACTCCCAGGGCATCCTGGGAGCTGTAGTTTCACAAGGTCTGTCAAAAAAGGGGTGCTGGTGCCTGGCCAAACTACAACTCCCAGGGTCCCAAGCAATAGCAATTAAAGTGGGATGGAACTGGATCAACTCCACAGTGTGGATGCCCTCACAATTTTCCTCCAGGAGCTCGGCTGGAGCCAAGGGGCCCCCAGGAGCCCCTCCCAAGGGCCCTCCCTGGCCTGGCCTGGCCGTCAACCGGCTTCCTGCCTCCTTCCCAGGCGCAATCCCACCCGAGGCCCCTTTCCGAGCCCCCCTTCGGCCCTCTTCCCTCCCTCCTTCCTTTTCAACGGCCCCTCCCCTCCCTTCTCCTCCAGCCTTCCCCATTTGCTCACAGTTTCGGATATCGGAGATAAATACGGCCAGGCCCCGCATCCCGTCTCCCTTGGAAACGGCCGGCATGGTGGCGGTGGCGGATCGGGACCCCGGCGACGCTCCGCTCCGCTCCGCGCCCGAAACCTGGCCCAGCAGCACCGAACCGACCAGGGACTATCCCATTGGCCGCTCTCTACGTCCGTCGTAGGCGATTTTGCATCCCATTGGCTTGAGACCCCGCCTGTCAAGCCCATCCTTGTTCCTATTCACTGAAGGCAAAGCATCCTCCTAGATGATTGGCAGAGAGGATTAAATCCCGCCTATTCCTCTCCCTATTGGCTCCGCCATGCCCCTTATGTCAAATAAGTCCCCTGCCGTCCTGCATTTTTCATTGGGCGTAGGTTAGGATATGTCCCGCCTATAGTTCTTTCCCTCCCGCCCCTTTGTGGCCATTCTCTCCTTCTTAGTGGTTCTGGGGAATGTCCTTCAAGGGATATCCCGCCCTCCTTCTCTCCAGCTTCTTGCGAAATCAGCACGCTTAGTTCCCGCCCCACTGATGGACAGTCAACACTTCTTCTGGGTTCTTATTGGATGATGAGTTTCTTGTCATTCAAGCCGCATGCTTCCTCTCATTGGCTAAAAGAGGTGACAGCGGAACGGCGGCAAAAGGAACATTGGGGAGAGGAGACTTGGAGACTGGGCTGGGAGGGGCAGGTGACGTCACGAGGTTTGAGCCAATAGGCGCAAGAGAGAAATGTTAAAGGATGGAAAGGCATGGATTCAAATCCTTTTCCATGTGGTTCGAGTTCTTCTTATCTAAGTGTATTATTATTTCTTCTACATTTATTATTGTTGATATTCTAATTTTTATATTCTTTAATATAATGTAATGTAATATATTGTATATACATATAATATTTATAATATTATAATGTAATGCAATATAATAATAATATGATATTATAATTACATATTTATATTACATGTAATATTACTAATAATTTTACAATATAATGGTATAGTACAATATAGTAATATTTAATACTGATATTGTACTATGCTAATAATATAATATATTGTATGTATATATATATATGTATGTATGTATATATGGACTGGAATGGGCCACTTCACATCAGATGACCACCAGATCTACTACTGCGGACAAGAGGAACATCGAAGAAATGGAGTAGCCTTCATAATTAATAAGAAATTCGCTAAAGCAGTGCTTGGATACAATCCAAAAAATGACAGAATGATCTCAATTCGAGTGCAAGGAAAGCCTTTCAACATTACAGTGATCCAAATATATGCCCCAACCACAGCTGCTGAAGAAGCAGAAGTAGATCAGTTCTATGAGGATCTGCAGGACCTACTGGATAATACACCAAAAAGAGACATTATTTTCATTACAGGAGACTGGAATGCCAAGGTGGGAAGTCAAATGACAACTGGGATCACAGGCAAGCATGGTCTGGGAGAACAAAATGAAGCGGGACGCAGGCTGATAGAATTTTGCCAGGAAAACTCGCTGTGTATAACGAATACTCTCTTCCAACAACCTAAAAGACGGCTTTATACATGGACCTCACCAGATGGTCAACACCGAAATCAGATTGACCACATCCTTTGCAGCCAAAGGTGGCGGACATCCATCCAGTCGGTGAAAACAAGACCTGGGGCTGACTGTAGCTCAGATCACGAACTTCTTATTGCCCAATTTAGAATAAAACTAAAGAGATCAGGGAAAATACACAGACCAGTTAGATATGATCTCACTAACATTCCTAGCGAATATACAGTGGAAGTGAAGAACAGATTTGAAGGACTAGATTTAGTAAACAGAGTCCCAGAAGAACTATGGACAGAAGTCCGCGACATTGTTCAGGAGGCGGCAACAAAGTACGTTCCAAAGAAAAAGAAAACCAAGAAGGCAAAATGGTTGTCTGCTGAGACACTGGAAGTAGCCCAAGAAAGGAGGAAAGAAAAAGGAAACAGTGATAAGGGGAGATATGCCCAGTTAAATGCGCAATTCCAGAGGTTAGCCAGAAGAGATAAGGAACTATTTTTAAATAAGCAATGCATGGAAGTGGAAGAAGACAACAGAATAGGAAGGACAAGAGACCTCTTCCAGAAAATTAGAAACATTGGAGGTAAATTTCAGGCAAAAATGGTATGATAAGAAACAAAGATGGCAGGGACCTAACAGAAGCTGAAGAGATCAAGAGAAGGTGGCGAGACTATACAGAAGATCTGTATAGGAAGGATAATAATATTGAGGATAGTTTTGACGGTGTGGTGAATGAATTAGAACCATACATCCTGAGGAGTGAGGTTGAATGGGCCTTAAGAAGCATTGCTAACAACAAGGCAGCAGGAGATGACGGGATCCCAGCTGAACTGTTTAAAATCTTAAAAGATGATGCTGTCAAGGTGATGCATGCCATTTGCCAGTAAATATGGAAAACACAAGAATGGCCATCAGACTGGAAAAAATCAACTTATATCCCCATACCAAAAAAGGGAAATGCGAAAGACTGCTCAAACTTCCGTACAGTGGCCCTTATTTCTCATGCCAGTAAGGTAATGCTCAAGATCCTGCAAGGAAGACTCCAGCAATACATGGAGCGAGAGTTGCCAGATGTTACAAGCTGGGATTAGAAAAGGCAGAGGAACGAGAGACCAGATTGCCAATATCCACTGGATAATGGAGAAAGGCAAGGAGTTTCAGAAAAACATCTATTTCTGCTTCATTGACTATTCTAAAGCCTTTGACTGTGTGAATCATAATAAATTGTGGCAAGCTCTTAGTGGGATGGGCATCCCAAGCCACCTTGTCTCTCTCCTGAGGAGTCTGTACAAGGACCAAGTAGCAACAGTAAGAACTGACTACGGAACAACAGACTGGTTCAAGATTGGGAAAGGCGTACGGCAAGGCTGCATCCTCTCACCCAACCTTTTTAACTTGTATGCAGAACACATCATGCGATGTGCGGGGCTGATGAATGCAAAGCTGGGGTGAAAATTGCTGGAAGAAACATTAACAACCTCAGATATGCAGATGACACCACTCTGATGGCCGAAAGCGAGGAGGAGATGAGGAGCCTTCTAATCAAGGTGAAAGAAGAAAGCGCAAAAGCCGGGTTGCAGCTAACAAAAAAACCAAGATTATGGCAACAAGAATGATTGACAACTGGAAAATAGAAGGAGAAACGTGGAGGCCGTGACAGACTTTGTATTTCTAGGTGCAAAGATTACTGCAGATGCAGACTGTGGCCAGGAAATCAGAAGACGCTTACTTCTTGGGAGGAGAGCAATGTCCAGTCTCGATAAAATAGTAAAGAGTAGAGACATCAGACTGGCAACAAAGATCTGCCTAGTCAAAGCCATGGTATTCCCTGTAGTAACCTACGGATGTGAGAGCTGGACCTTAGGGAAGGCTGAGCGAAGGAAGATCGATGCTTTTGAGCTGTGGTGTTGGAGGAAAGTTCTGAGAGTGCCTTGGACTGCGAGAAGATCCAACCAGTCCATAGTTCAGGAAATAAAGCCCGACTGCCCATTGGAGAGAAGGATATAGAGACAAAGTTGAAGTACTTTGGCCACATCATGAGGAGACAGCAAAGCCTAGAGAAGACAATTATGCTGGGGAAAGTGGAAGGCAAAAGGAAGAGGGGCCGACCAAGGGCAAGATTGATGGATGGCATCCTTGAAGTGACTGGACTGACCTTGAAGGAGCTGGGGGTGGTAACGGCCGACAGGGAGCTCTGGCGTGGGCTGGTCCATGAGGTCACGAAGAGTCGGAGACGACTGAACGAATGAACAACAACATATATCCCAGTAACTACAACCACTGTTGTTGTAGGTTTTTTCGGGCTATATGGCCATGTTCTAGAGGCATTCTCTCCTGACGTTTCGCCTGCATCTATGGCAAGCATCCTCAGAGGTAGTGGGGATGCTTGCCATAGATGCAGGTGAAACGTCAGGAGAGAATGCCTCTAGAACATGGCCACATAGCCCGAAAAAACCTACAACAACCCAATTTTGTAAGCCGCTCTGAGTCCCCTTCGGTGTGAGAAGGGCGGCATATAAATGTCATAAATAAATCTATATAAATAAAAATGTAATGTTCGTTTGTGGGATTAATAGAACCTAAAAACCACTGGACAAATTGACACCAAATTTGGACACAAGACACTAAAAAAAATGGATTTCGTCATTTGGGAGTTGTAGTTGCTGGGATTTATAGTTCACCTACAATCAAAGAGCATTCTGAACCGCACCAACGATGGAATTGAACCAAACTTGGCACACAGTTTTCCCATGACCAAGAGAAAATTCTCGAAGGGTTTGTTGGGTAGTGTCCTTTGGTTTTGGAGTTGTAGTTCACCTACATCCAGAGATCACTGTGGACTCAAACAATTATGGATATGGACCAAACTTTGCATAGATACTCAATATGCCCAAATGTGAACACTGGTGGAGTTTGGGGAAAATAGAATCTTGACATTTGGGAGTTGTAGTTGCTGGGATTTATAGTTCACCTACAATCACAGAGCATTCTGAACCCCACCAACGATAGAAATGGGCCAAACCTAGCACACAGAACCCCCATGTGGGCCACAGCAACACGTGACAGGGGACAGCTAGTAATATAATATATTGTATGTATATATATATTGTAAGCCGCTCTAAGTCCCCTTCGGGGTGAGAAGGGCGGCATATAAATGTCATAAATAAATAAATAATCTTAGCAGTAGTATTTTATAATAACAATAATATAAAAATAATAAATATGATACTTATTTACAATATTAATATTATTTTGAAATTATCATTCCCAATATTACTTAAGATATTTATTAAGATGAGAATTAGTAAGTTTTTTGGTATCATTTTAATTTTTTTAAGATAAAAAATAGTACTTATATAGAGCAATGTGAAGATATGGCAAGTGCTATCTAGGATCTGTTTCTAGAGAATTTAAATGCCAAACCACTTCTGGGCAAGCTATTTAACTTCAGCAGACTGAAAGCCAAAACCAAAGTCACAACATCTGTTATAGAACTCCAATATGCTGATGACAACGTAGTGTGTGCTCATTCAGAAGAACATCTACAAGCCACTCTAAACACCTTTGCAGAAGCATACGAGAAACTCGGCCTCTCATTGAATATTGAGAAAACCAAAGTGCTCTTCCAGCAGGCATCAGCTAATCCCACTGCAATGCCAAGAATACAATTTAATGTGTAATGTTAGAAAATGTTGACCATTTCCGCTACCTTGGCAGCCACCTCTCCACAAAAGGTAACATTGACACTGAAATACAACACCGCTTGAGCTCTGTGAGTGCAACATTCTTCCAAATGAAGCACAGTGTTTGAGGACTGGAACATCCATAGGGGTACCAAGGTGCTTGTTTATAAAGCTGTTGTCCTCTCAACCCTGCTATATGCCTGTGAGACGTGGACTGTCTACAGATATCACACTCAACTCCTGGAACGATTCCATCAGCGTTGCCTCAGAAAAATCCTGCAAATCTCTTGGGAAGACAGGCGGACAAATGTCAGCGTGCTGGAAGAAGCAAAAACCCACCAGTATTGAAGCGATGGTCCTCCGCCATCAACTCCGCTGAACTGGCCACAATGTCCGAATGCCCAATCACCGTCTCCCAAAGCAGTTACTCTACTCCCAACTCAAGAATGGGAAACATAATGTTGGTGGACAGGAAAATAGATTAAAAGAGGGGCTTAAAGCCAACCTTAAAAACAGTGGCATAGAACTGGGAAGCCCTGACCCTTGAGTGCTCTAACTGGAGGTCAGCTGTGACCAGCAGTGCTGAGGAATTCGAAGAGACACGAATGGAGGGTGAAAGAGAGAAATGTGCCAAGACGAAGGTGCGCCACGCCAACCCTGACCGGAACTGCCTTCCATTTGGAAACCGATGTCCTCACTGCGGGAGAACATGCGGATCGGGAATAGGGCTCCACAGCCATCTACGAACCCACCAGCAAGATACCACATCTGGAAGACTATCATCCTCTAGCAACGAAGGATTGCCTAAGTAAGTAATTAAGGGTGCTTCTACACCAGGCATGGGCAAACTTGGACCCTACTGGCTCTTAGGAATTGTAGAAGTCCAAAACACCTGGAGGGCCCAAGTTTGCCCATGCCTGTAGAATTAATGCAGTTAGACACCACTTTAATTGCCATGGCTCAATGCTATGGGATCCTGGGAGTTGTAGTTTTACAAGGTCTTCAGCTTTCCCACGCTGCTGCTGCCTCACCAAAACTACAAAATCCGGGATTCCATCGCAATTAAAGCCATGCTAAACTGCATTAATTCTGCAGTATATAGAAACATAGAATAATAGAATTGGAGAAGACCAAATGGGCCATCTAGTCCAACCCCCTGACATGCAAGAAAAGAACAGGATGTAGTTGCACCCTGAGTCAACCCTTTCTGTTGTAAAAAAAATAACGTAGCATTGGATTCGGCTGATGCTACTTGTTCAAAACCCGCAATGTGAGGATGTTTTTATATGACAGGTTTTGCAGGAAGTATTTAAATGGGAAAACCGTTCCTCTATGGGTGCTGTCATGTATATTTTGGTTCTTAGTTTGCAAAGCAAACAAGCTTTTGATCTTAATCTACAGTAGTTACTTTGTCAGGCATGGAGAGCAAGAAAATGTTGTTTTCTGTCAAAACTGTTATGTTTACCAGGGAAATCTGTTCCTCTTTAATGCAGAGGCATAGGGTGAAGTACATTAATAGTGCTCATCTACATAGGCCTGTGCAGAAACAAATCTTAGGAAGCACTCCTAATGGTAAGAGCTGTTTGGCAGTGGAATATACTGCCTCAAAGTGTGATGGAGTCTCCTTCTCTGGAGGCTTTTAAGCAGAAGCTGGATGGCCATCTGTCAGGAATGCTTTGATTGTGTGTTCCTTCATGGCAGAATGGGGTTAGACTGGATGGCCTTTGAGGTCTCCTCTAACTATCACCGGAGTTCCTGGTAGATATATAGGCATAACATTGCAGCCAAATTTAAGATTTTGGTGGCACTGAATCCTCAAATTTTGTCCCTGAGAACTCTTTGTGAGTTGGGTTGCTGTGAGTTTTTCGGGCTGTATGGCCATGTTGAGGAACCATTCTCTCCTGACATTTTGCCTGCATCTATGGCAGGCATCCTCAGAGCTTGTGAGGTCCGTTGGAAACTAGAAACATGGGGTTTATATATCTGTGGAATGTCAAGGGTGGGTGAAAGAACTCTTGTCTGTTGGAGGTAGGTGTGAATGTTTCCATTTGCCACTTTGATTAGCATTTAATGGCCTAGCAGTTTTCAAGGTCTGGCTTCATACTGCCTGAAGGAATCCTTTGTTGGGATTGTGGGTTGTCCCACAATCAGAAATGTGTCAAATTCATTTACATTGAGGGTTACATCAGCCTTATGTTTGCTGTGAAAGGGCCATTGAATCCATTAATGGAGAATCCTTGGATACAGAGGGCCCACTATAATTCTTTGACATAGTGGTAGGTGCTCTTTTTAGTTTGAGTCCCCAGATTTTATTGAATGACAACTCACATCACTTTTGATTATCTGCCATGCAGACTGGGGATAATGGGAATGGCAACCAAACATCACTTCTGGCTCTGAGGATGGGGAAGGGCTAAAGGACGTTAAAGGCAGACATCGTATCCACAAGCCTTGTATCTAAATCCAAATTCCACTCTCCAACTAAACAGAACAAACTGCAGCCTTACAGATGGTACTGTATCCCAATTCCCATCAGCTCTAGTCATGATGTCTAATGAGGAATATAGGAGCTATCATCCAGCATCTGAAAAGCCACATAAAATGACATGGAGAACCAGATTGACATGTGTGGATTTTTAAATGGTAGTGAAATACCCAGCAAGATGCTTCTGGTTTGTTCTTTTAAAACATTTAGGGTTTACTGTACTATACTCCCTTTAAATACCAAATTGACCTTCCTTTTTGTGGCAGCAAGGGGTACTATATTGGTATACACACCATTCTGCGTTCAGAAGGGTGCATCTACACCAGACATGGGCAAACCTCAGCCCTCCAGGTGTTTTGGACTTCAACTCCCTCAATTCCTAACAGCTGTTAGGAGTTGTGGGAGTTGAAGTCCAAACCACCTGGAGGGCCAAAGTTTGCCCATGCCTGATCTACACTGTAGAATGAATGCAGTTTGGCATCACATCACTTCAACTGCCATTGTAGCAAACCACTGACCACCTACTACAATGCAACCTGAGCCCTGCCACATGTACAATGGAGGACCTTCTTGCAGCAACACCAGAGGCACTCCAAGTGGCCAGCTACTGGTCAAAGGACATTTAATAGAATGCCAAGTTGCAAACTTTGTTTTTTTTTTTTTAAATGCAATACAACTGCCATGGCTCAATGCTATGGACTCATGGGAGTTGTAAGTTTTACAAGGTCTTCAGCCTTCTCTGCTGAATACTGGAGGCATGGGCAAACCTCCAGGCTGTTAGGAATTGTGGAAGTTAAAAGTCCAAAACACATGGAGAACTGAAGTTTGCCCATGCCTGTACTAGGACTTCACCAAACTAAAATCCCATGATTCCATATAATTCCGAGCACAATTCAAAGTGCTGGTTTTGACCTATACGGCTACGGTCCAGCGTACCTATCCGAAGGTATCTACTTCTACGTCCCACCTCAGAGTTTAAGATCTTCTGGGGAGGCCCTGCTCTTGGCCCCGCCTCTGTCTCAAACACGCTTGGCGGGGACGAGGGACGGGGCCTTCTCGGTGGTGGTCCCCTGCCTGGGAAAGTTAGGTCATCTTCATCCCTCCTCACCTTTAAAAAAAAGTTAAAAACATGGATGTGGGACCAGGCCTTTGGGTAATTAAGCGGACAGTGACAATAACAATGCTGACAATGGCTTGGAAATGGATTATGGATAAATTTGATGGAGCATCTAACCACAGTTTTAGGCTAACAATAACCACCAGAGTGGTAATTCTTAGTAGATTTTAATTGTATTGTTTTAATGTTTTTAACTATTTATAATTATTGACTGTTTGTTTTTATTATGTATATATGAAGCATCGAATTGCTGCCGATTGGAAGCCACCCTGAGTCCCCCCAGGATGTTGAGAAGGGCTGGGTACAAATATTCGAAATAAATGAATAAATAAAATTGAGCTGTGGCAGTTTAAGTGGTGCCAGACTGCATTAACTCTACAGTGTAAATGTAACCTCATTGAGCATTATGGCCTTGGACCCATTTCCTCTGAAAGGTGCTCTGACATCGTAGAACCTTAGTGGCAAAAGCCATGATGGAACCCCAGAGAGGTCATGTGACCTTTGGCGCCATGGCAACGGTTGTGATACCACAGATTGCAGCTGGGAGACCCCTTACCCTCCTTGGAGAGCCAGTTGGCTCAGAGATGGTCGATATCCCTCAGGATAGAGTCGGAAAGGAAATCCACGTTTTGAGCCGGATATTCAATGCTAAACCCAGAGATGTCCAACTTGGTGGTGAAGACTATTTGGCAGTCCAAGGAGATCAACGAGGCCGGGGACACCCCGCCGTGGGCCTGCGGTCGGCCCCAAGGAAGCAAGGAGCAACTGGGGAGCAAGCCTAGTGGCACCAAAGGCTTCCCCAAGAAGAAGAAGGCCGTCTCTTTCCATGGGTGGGAGCCCTGGGAAGGAAGGGGGTGGAGGTGGGGTGCCATGCGCTACTTGTGGGACGGGGAGGGTAATGATAATAATAACACTTGGTTACCTGCCTCTTCTCACAATTTGAGGTGGGGCGCAACACAGTTCAAATACCTAGATAAAACACAATACCATGAAATTCGCATATTAAAAGTCATATCGATAGTATAATATTGAAGACACAGAACTAATAGAATGTAAATTCATAGTTTAAAATTGCATAATAATATAATAATAATAATAATAATATGTTACTTGCCTCTTCTCACTGTTTTAGGTGGGGCACAACACAGTTAAAATATCTAGAGAAAATACAGTACAATGAAAAACRTATATTAAAAGCCATATCGATAATGYAAAAATGAAGACACAGTACTAATAGAATGTAAATTCATAGTTTAAAATGGCATAATAATAATAAATAATAATTTGTTACTTGCCTCTTCTCACTGTTTTAGGTGGGGCACAACGAGTTAAAATATCTAGAGAAAATACAGTACAATGAAAAACGTATATTAAAAGCCATATCGATAATGCAAAAATGAAGACACAGTACTAATAGAATGTAAATTCATAGTTTAAAATTGCATAATAATAATAATAATAATAATAATAATAATAATAATAATAATTTGTTACTTGCCTCTTCTCACAGTTTGAGGTGGGGCACAACACAGTTAAAATATCTAGAGAAAATACAGTATAATGAAAAACATATATTAAAAGCCATATCGATAGTACAAAAATGAAGACACAGTACTAATAGAATGTAAATTCATAGTTTAAAGTTGTGTTGTTGTTAATAATAATAATAATAATAATAATAATAATAATAATAATTTGTTGCTGGCCTCTTCTCACAGCTTGAGGTGGGGCACAATACAGTTAAAATACCTAGAAAAAATATAATACCATGAAATACGTATATTAAAAGACATATTCAGAACAAAGATTAAGACACAGTACTAATAGAATGTAAATGCATGGGTAATAATAAACGAAAACAAAATTATTTGTTAGCAGTCTTCTCTCATGGCTTGAGGTGGGGTGCAACATACCGTATATACTCGAGTATAAGCCGACCCGAATATAAGCCGAGGCACCTAATTTTACCACAAAAACTGGGAAAACGGATGGACTCGAGTATAAGCTGAGGGCGGAAAATGCAGCCGCTACGGGTCAATTTCAAAATAAAAATAGATACCAATACAGTTACATTAATTAAGGCGACAGTAGGGTCAATGTTTTTGAATATTTACATAAAACCCTAAGACTGTTTTAATGTTGACATTTTGTATATTTTAAATTGTATGCTGGTGCTTTTATGTTAAGCCGCTTTGAGTCTTTTATGGGAGAGATAAAGCAGAGTATAAATAAATAACTATAATAATAATAATAATAATAATAATAATAATAATAATAATGGCCATCTCCCGTCATGACTCAAGGCAGCGTGCAACACCCAGATAAAAAAAAGTATCAAAAATAGTTAAATTAAAATATGTAGTACTGTACAAAGATTAAAATACTAATAGAATATACATTTAAAATTCATAGTTTAAAATCAATTGGATAATAATAATAATAATAATGTTTCAATTCTAAGACACTATAAATTATAAGACACACTAATTCCAGTATCACCCAAGAAAAAAAGTTTTATATATAAAAAGCGCCCTCAACGTTTGTATGGGAGAGGGTGATGAGAGCATCTTAGAATAAAAAATATGGTACAAATAATAATAATTCTTAATCTCTTCTTCCCAAGGTTCAGAGCAGATTTCCAATAGATAAAAACAGCAATAGATAAATCCATAAATCTAATTGAAACATGGGAGGCTGGTTCTATACTGTAGAATGAATATAGTTTGATGCCATCGTAACTGCTATGGATCAATGTTAGGAATCCTGGGAGTTGTACCTATACAAGGTCTTGAGCCTTCTCTGAGGCTGGATTTACACTGCCTTATATCCCAGGATCTGATCCCAGATTATTGGCCTTAAAATTGATTATATGAGTCTACACTGCCAGATAGTCTGGGATAAACAGATAATCTGGGATCAGATCCTGGGATATAGGACAGTGAAGATCCAGCCTGACAAAGAGGGTGGATGCCTCACCAAGCTAGAATTCTCAAGATTCAATTGCATTGAGCCATGGTGGTAAAACGGATGTCAAACCACATTCATTCTACACTGTAGATGAACCTATAAATTAAAAACAGATAGACGAGAGTAAAACAGACAAGGAAGCAACATAAGGACAATCTAGTTTTAGGAATGATGTTTGCTAAACATCAGTTTAGAGCTTACATCCAGGGAAGTGCGCTTAGGACCACAGCCTTAAGTTAACCGATTGTGGAAAATGTTGGAGAGAAGGGGGAGCAAGTGGCTGATCTGCATGCTGTTTTCTCTACTTCAGTGTTGAACCCCACTTGGCCAGTGAAAACTCCAAGCTCAACTTGAAGCGGTCTTCTGCCTGCACCAATGTTTCTCTGCTGAACCTGACTGATGGAGAACGTGATGACTCCACCACAGAGAATGAATCCACGGATGATGGCAGTCCTCCTGGGGGAGCAGCCGGCGAAAGAAGCGCACCCCTGCTCCCCATCAAGTCAGTTTGGTCTGAATATGATGATGATGATGACACATCCAGCCAGCAGGTGAAGAAAGTATAAATGTGTTTGTTATTGATGATTATGTCCCATTGGATTAGCAGTGTTCCATCAACAGAACAGCCAAAAACTCTTAATTCTTTGAAAATGGGTTACTGCCCTTGCAAGGGCTGAGTTGTGTGTGTCTGCAGATGTTGTTGAACTTCCTAACAGCATTCCTTACCTTTAGCCATTCTAGATACACCTCATGGGAGTCGCAGTTTGACAACATTTGGAGGGCCACAGTAGACTAGATCTACACTGTCATGTAATCCAGATCATCTGCTTTGAACTGGATATATAGATCTATACTGCCATATAATCCAGTTCAAAATAGATAACCTGGATTTTATATGGCAGTGTAGATGGCGCCTTATTCTCACCCTTGGACAAGTTCTGAACATTTTATTCCCTGAGTGCAAGGACAAAAATGGATTCCTTTACTTCCATGTGCAGAAGTTGATTGAAGTGACGGTTGAATGTTATTTCCATATTGGTGTTTCAGTGAATTTTGGACCCTTGAAAAAGGTGTTCTAAGATATAGTCTCCCCCCAAAGTATAGCAATTTGTATTTATATGAAAGTTCTATAAAAATTTATAGCCAAAAGATTGACAATAAAACAGCATTACATCTTCATAGAACAACCCATTTATATCTATCTATCTATCTATCTATCTATCTATCTATCTATCTATCTCCATCAGGAATAATCCAGATAACAGGAAATTAACATAAAATTAGCCATAAGTACTTCTTCGAAATGAAACAAAATAATATCTTATCAGAAGTTTTTTCAAGCTCCTTCGCCCATAAATCTCCATACTTTCCTAATGGCCTTGACAGGTTGAGAAAACATCTCTTTCCTCTCTGTGCCCTTTTCATTGTTTCTCTGTGCTTTCTTTTCAAAGTAGGAATCCATGGGTCACCCAGTCTCATCCTCTTTTTACCAAACAGAAATGTAAAATTACAGCACTATCACTGACATGGCACGGGTCCTGCTATACCTGAAAGCAGCAGGCTAGCTTAGAGAGGGTATAGTGCAAACTGTGGGACATTCAGATCTTTCCCCCACTGTTTCCACCATTTGCCATTTAGGTAGCTTCCATACTTTGCCTAGGAGTAGATCCTGCCTTGCTATACATCTTAAATCTATATCCTAGACAGTGGTTCTCAACCTATGGGTCCCCAGATGTTTTGACCTACAACTCCCAGAAAACCCAGCCAGTTTACCAGCTGTTAGGATTTCTGGGAGTTGAAGCCCAAAACATCTGAGGATCCACAGGTTGAGAACCACTGTTCCAACATATAGATGTCATGTCTAGTTCACCTATTACAGAATCTCAGAAATAGACTCTGTTATGACTTTTAGTAGAATTACAGCAAAGCCATATTTCTAAGACTGAACAAAATTACAAACTCCAACAGCCAAATTCCAGCACTGAGGAAAGAATGGTTCCTAGAAGGCCACAGGATGTCCATGTTGATTCTGGAGCTGAAATGTTCAGCTTCTGTGTAATGTGATCCCACAATCCTATACTGACAGGCGGAGGAGTTTCATACATGAACTATATTGTGGTCTCAGACCAGACATCCAAGGTGGAGTGCAGACATAGTGCCAGCAAGAGCTTCAGAAGGTGTTCACCTCAGTCTGGTATGCTTTCTCGCAATCTCTGTCAGACTTTAAAAAATCTGGTATTCTTTGGTAGCTACAGCTCAACAAAATGTTCAGACATATTGCTTCCTGAAGCTTAGATCCTGCCTCCCACCCCTATTTCATGTTCAGAAAGTAACTAGGCAGCAACAGTGAAGGAAAAACATCCTTCACTGCACCGGAGGGAACAGGCTAATTCAGGATATTGAGCATGAAAGATTGCATGGCACAAACAGCTTTGTCTGCTTTCTGCTCCTCTGTATCTGTGCCTAGAATTGGATATGTGGGTCTACCATATGAGAGACCCCAACCCTCCACTCATAAGCAACTGTTTGGTCTATCCACCTGTAATACAGGGATGAGATTATTTTTTACATAAGAAAGAGCATGTGGGGAAAAGATCAACAGAATCCTTTCCCCTTACACCACTGTTTAACTTGCCGATCTACATTTCATGAAGCCATTTTCTCCGCTTTCTACCTAATTTCCAGTAGAAAGCCACAGGATGTCCATGAAAGAAAAGTGGTTCAATAAGTGGAATTGAACAGGAGAGAGATTCCTTCAATAGTGACTCCTTTGGGTGTTTTCACCCACACCTTTCATATCAAAAGTAGTATGTTTAGCATTACTTCCCGAAAATTCACCCTAATCATATTTTACCTGCCATGTCCAGCATATTTTTAAATTTTAGTTATTACATTTGGCCCAGCTATAAGTTTTTAAATGTCGTCGTGCTATTGTTAATGTTTATTGTTTATTTGCTGTTATGAGTTTTATTTACTGCTTGTACTATTGCTGTTTTTGCTTTGTTATTGCTGTGTTGTGGGCTCGGCCTCATGTAAGCCGCACCGAGTCCCTTGGGGAGATGGTAGCGGGATACAAATAAAGTTTTATTTATTATTTATTATTACTTTTGTTAAATGCTTTATAGTGCATCTATCCTGATGAACTCACAAAGAAAAAAGAATAGAAATTAAATCTAAACATTTGGAAGACCTTATACGAGTATTTATTGTACGAGCTGTTCGATAATAGAATAAATGGCCTCTAACGGTGTGGACTCTCCATCTTTAAATTAAGGTTGGCTGAAAAGCTTTCAGAAATGCTTTAGTTATGTATTGTCCTCCTGGTGGCGCAGTGGGTTAAACCGCTGAGCTGCTGAACTTGCTGACCGAAAGATCGGCGGTTAGAATCTGGGGAGCAGGGTGAGCTCCCACTGTTAGGCTCAACTTCTGCCAAACTAGCAGTTCAAAAACATGCAAATGTGAATAGATCAATAGATACCCCATCTGAGGAAAGGTAATGGCACTCCATGCAGTCATGCTGGCCACATGACCTTGGAGATGTCTATGGACAATGCTGTCTCTTTGGCTTAGAAATGGAGATGAGCACCACCCCCCAGAGTCGGACACAACTAAACTTAATGTCAGGGGAAACCTTTCCCTTTCCCTTTTTTATATATCTCCCCCCCCCCCCGCCCCTTTTAGAAGGGGCAACCCAGACGCTTGCTTCTGCCAGTTACTCACAAATTATGAATATACACAGAATTGATGAAACCCTAAGAAGGACTTTCCATTGTCATGTCAGCTCTCTGAGTGACAAGCCCTTGTGGCAGAAAGAATAGAATAACTTTGTTATTGTACAACAAAATTAAATGCTTTCCCCAGCACACATCAGAAAACAACACACCCATCCCTCCACACTCCAACCACCACCACACAGCCCCCAATGCCACATCAATGCGAAACCATGGAGTTCAGTATAGGAGAAGACAGTCTATACAAGCTCTCATTCTATGGGGCAATCCTTTTTGGCCCAGTTTTTATCACTGTCTCAATATCCTCAGTCAGAAGAAAAATAAGAAGCAATAATAATTATATTAGAATTATGATTCCTTATATAGATGAGTTCCCTCTTCAGCGATCTGATGTGACGAACTGGCATCAACCCCACACACCCCAAAAGCACCAGGAACTGGTACCATATTTGTGCCCATTAATTATTGGTTGGGCCCCTGGTGGCACAGTGGGTTAAACCGCTGAACTGCTGAGCTTGCTGACTAAAAGGTTGGCGGTTTGAATCTGGGGAATGGAGTGAGCTCCTGCTGTTAGTCCCAGCTTCTGCCAACCTACCATTTTGAAAACATGCAAATGTGAGTAGATCAATAGGTACCACTTCTGTGGCAAGGAAATGGTGCTCCATGCAGTCATGCTGGCAACATGACATCGGAGGTGTCTACGGACAATGCTGGCTCTTCGGCTTAGAAATTGAGATGAGCACCACCCCCCAGAGTCAGACACGACTAGACTTAATGTCAGGGGAAACCTTTACCTTTACCTTTAGTTATTATTTGTTTGGTAACTGCACAGTGGCAGATAGGAAGGCACTCCAAAAGGTCACCACTACTGCACAGAGAATCATTAGTTGCCCTCTCTCCTCTTTTGAAGAACTTTATAAGTCCAGCAGCCTTATGAAAGCTCAGAACTTCTTAAGGGCCCATCCCACCCAATGTATTTTTTGAACTATTACCATCTGGCAAACGATACAGGATGACAAAGGCAAGGGCAAACAGACCGAGAGATGGCTTTTATCCTAGAGCTGTAACTATATTGAACTCCATGGTTTTGCATTGATGCGGCATTGGAGACTGTGTGGTGGTGGTTGGAGTGTGGAGAGATGGGTGTGGGGAAAGTATTTAATTTTGTTGTACAATGTATAATGACAATAAAGTTATTCTATTCTATTCTTTGACTGTTCCTTTCTTTCCTGGTTATCTTCAGGGACCAGTTCCAGCTTATGGCTCACCATTCTGAGCAGTATGAAATTAGATCACAAGAAGCCATCATTATACATTACACCTGTGCATTTAAGATAGCTTCCCATTCTTTTCTGACAGATTCTAATGAACATAATATTATTCCTGTGGGGTTTAGATAACTTTCTGTTCTTTTCTGACAGATTCTAAGGGGCAGTGAAAAATACAGGGATTGTAGTTAGGTCAAATTGCTATATTTTGATCCGATACCACTTCTGAGAAGCTTGGCATGGTATCAGTGATTCTGTACTATCACTTTGATACAACAACTCTGTGAAGTAGATTAGATGGAAAGATTAGCCACCGTCATTCAGTGAGCTATACATTGTGACTTTGTGGCTTTATCTCTGTTGTCCCTGGTTCTAATCCAGTATTTTAATAACTAAATGGCAAATGCTTCGCACATGAATAATTTTATCAGAGCTGGGCATCTCAAAGTTTGAAGTTTTCTGTAAAGCGGTTAAGATGATCATCCCTTACTCTCTTTTATGTCTCTAATGACTAAGGAAAAGTATTAAATAATTAGTGTGTTCTACAATTACTAATTAATAGATATTGAATAAGACCTGGGGTATCATATCTCTAAATCTAGAGAGAGAATAATAAACCTCTCCACAAGCCAATAATGAAAGATGCTGAGAGTTGTAGTCCAATAACATTTGTAGTGCCATATGTTTTCCATCCCTTATCTAAAACACAATTTTTTTGAAATAAGCTTGCCAGGGTTTTCTTTCATTTTTCTTTCTTTTTACTAGCCTTACTCTGTTTCCTTTGATAACAGCCCAACAACTAGAAATCCAACAGATTTAAGATTTGGGTTTCTGTGAGTTTTCCGGGCTATATGGCCATGTTCCAGAAGCATTCTCTCCTGACGTTTTGCCCATATCTGTGGCAGGCATCCTCAGAGGTTGAGAGGTCTGTTGGAAACTAGGCAAGTGAGGTTTATATATCTGTGGAATGTCCAGGAGGAGGGCCTGCTAATGCCTTCCAACAAAGGATTCCACTAGGCAGCAGGCTTTGAAGCTGCAAGGCTATTAAATGCTAATCAAGGTGGCCAATTGCAACATTAACACTTGCCTCAAACAGACAAGAGTTCTTTTTCCCACCCTGGACATTATTCCACAGATATATAAACCTCACTTGCCTAGTCACCGTTAAACTGCATTCTGAGGCTCTTTCTACACTGCCCTATATCCCAGGATCTGAACCCAGATTATCTGCTTTAAACTGGGTTATATGAGTCTCCATTGCCAGATAAACAGATAATCTTGGATCAGATCCTGGTATATAGGTTGGCCCCCTCCCTCCTGTCCTTTAGAAGGATGGTAAAAGCTTGGCTGTGGGACCAAGCTTTCGGGACAGCGCAATAAAGCGGCAATGGGAAAGATGACCAGGCCAATGATTTGATGCGGATGACTAGGATGGTTTTGAATGGTGTATTTTAATATTTTAATAAATGTTTTTAATGTTTATGTATTGTATGTGAATCTGTGTCCCGGCATTGAATGTTTGCCGTGTATATGCTGTGCTCCACCCTGAGTCCCCTTCGGGGTGAGAAGGGCGGAATATAAATATTTTAAATTAATAAATAAATAAAATATAGGGGCGGTGTGGAAGGAGCCTGAAGCTGCATTATATGGCAGCATAGATGGGTCCTCTGTGTCTTTCATTAATTCATGATATACTTCAAAGGTCTCAAGTGTTAGACTCCCTCATTTAAAAGGCTGTCTTCAGCTGTACCCTGCCAGTCTTAAAACCTTGGGAGTTGAAAGCAATGCCCAGAAATTGTCGAAGGCTTTCATGGCCGGAATCACTGGGTTGTTGTAGTTTTTTCGGGCTATATGGCCATGGTCTAGAGGCATTCTCTCCTGACGTTTCGCCTGCATCTATGGCAAGCATCCTCAGAGGTAGTGACCTCACTACCTCTGAGGATGCTTGCCATAGATGCAGGCGAAACGTCAGGAGAGAATGCCTCTAGACCATGGCCATAAAGCCTGAAAAAACTACAACAACCCAATGCCCAGAAAGTCTCAAGAGGTCAGAATTAACCAGACTATTTACCTGACCCTGACTCCTCCTTACGCTCTGTTCCTGCAGGAAGTGAGCAATAGTGGCCTGTTGCGAGCCAAGGACTCCATCACCAGCCTCAAGGAGAGGACGTCCAAGGTCAACCGCCATGTTCAGAACCTGCAGGTCTGGAGAATGTTCCCCTCTCACCATCACTTCAAGTAGAGAGCATCTTGCCAAGGGTCTCAGGCTCCAGCATGGGCTTGCTCTCTTTTGCCCTTGCGGCTGTCAACTAAACGATAAACTTTGGTTTCTTTGAGAACTACTGTGTTGGTTTGTTATGTTCTTTTATAGGCTACCACATTTCCTTAACTCCTTCCAGGTGGGAAGAAGTGGAAAAGGTTACTGAATCCAAAATCAGCTGTAGTTATTGCATGTAGCTGCAGATCGACAAAGCAATCTGTACATAGTTAGAACTAAGACCTCACAACTGAACTTTCCATGGTAGCTTCTTGAGCTCATGTGAGGCAAGAATTTTAAGTTTTATTTTGTAAAGCGGTTTATTTAATAATCAACCCAATACGTTTGACTTATCAGTATTTTCACTTGCTATTTTTGGAGGGTCTTGCTCCAAGCTGGAGCAAAACTAACATTTAAGAGCCACAAAACTAGACACGCAGCCCAGAACCTCTGTCCCTTTTGATCTAGGTTCAGCATTTTGTAACCATGTCCTCTTGTAAGATTAAGTTAGTTGTGGGTTGTGTCCCAGGATAGCTTGTGAAATTCATGGTCTTTTCCTCAAGCTACATTCCAACTGGGGTCCCATGTACTCTTCAGAATTCTACTGCAGGAAATATCTGATCCAAAAAATCTGAAAGTATTTGGGTGGACTCTTCATCATTTAGATAAGAATATGATTTAATCCAAATGCTGTATGGTTTTTAATTGTTTGTGTAGGGTTACTCAGAATTTTTCCCCCAGTGGTGATTTTAATCTTGTTTGGATTGAAGGAGAAACAAACAACAGTTCCTTCTGGCCTCAATGTGTCACTAACAGAACTTCTATGTGGAGGGAGCTTGGAATGGCTGGAGTGAACTTCTGGAAAGGGAAGGAAGGCTTATTGTCTGTAAGGCTGGTTGATCAAGACAGGGCTATATGCCCTCCTCATCCTATTTCTTTCCCTCTGAAATGCACTGACTTAGCCATTCCTCTTGTGCTCTCTTTGTGTGCAGAGCGAGTGTACAGTGTTATGTGAAAACCTGGAGAGGCGTAGACAGGAGGCTGAGGACCTGGAGGAGTATTGTACTCAACTTAAGGTGAGGAGTGTGGAAGGATGTGCTGGCTTACCAAAGCCTTGCTCCAGAAACATCAGGAGAGTCAGCTGCCAATAGGTTATGATCATTGTTAAAGATTTTCCCCTTAGTTCACCACACTGTATGGAAACATCATCCTTTTGTGGGTGACCTTTCTTCTGTGCCACAATGTGAGTGGCCCATAATTCTTCGTTAATTACACGACTTTCTGGCCTTTTATCTAGTGAGCTCATGGCAATGTATCAGCCTTCCTTTTTCCTCAGTTTATCCTCAAAACAACTCTGATATACTATACATCAGGCTGGGAAGGAATGACTGTCCCAGTGAGTTTCATGTTCATTGGGGATTTAAGAGGTGCTGACCTCACCATCAGCTAGAGCAGTAGTTCCCAACCTGTGGTCCATGGACCACCAATGGTCCACAAGAACTAAAATATGGTCTGCAGCCTCATCGTTACTATACTGTTGCAATGAGAGCAACTGGTCTCACAAAACCCTCATATAGTGCTAAGGCTTATTAAATATGGTTTTCTTTGGGCAAGCAGATGGCGAATACTGGATGGCATATGTTCTATATCAGAAACTAGAGCTGATGTGGTCTATCCAATGCAATTTTCTGAATCAGCACCCCGAATAACCAAACTGAATCTAAAGTTGACCAAAAACTGATTTGTAACCCTTTTAGTACAAATGTTGGAGAGTGGTCCCTTGTCAAGTGGTCCCTGGTTAAGTGGTCCCTGGTCAAGTGGTCCCTGGTCAAAAAAAGGTTGGGAACCACTGAGTTAGAATGAGGTGGCTGCCTCAGTCATTGAATTTTTAAGAGGCATCAAAAGGCAACAAATTATCTATTTACTTTATTTTTGGTGCAAGTGATAAAGAGAAGTCCTTGTTGGATGGCCTGCCTTCTGACAAAATAACCTGACTGGCTTTACGAGATACCTTGCATAAGGTACACTCCATTTGCTGAACCACTTTAGGCAGCAAAATGTCTGGAGCAGCCATAGACTTCATCCTGGATTTCCAAGTCTCAATCCGATACTTGAACAACTAAACCATATATGCAGGCTTTCTCAAATGTAGTTTCCTCCATTAGAGTTGTTATCATCCCAATTAGAATCACCAGGACTGATGGGGATAATGAAGAGGTTTGTGGTCCAAGACACCTGGAGGGAGATAGAATGTGGGAAAGCTGGTGTGTTGGAGACCTGAATCACAGAAAGTGGAATTAGAGAAGAGACTGTGCCATTCCATAAGCTTAAGTGATATACTTCTGGCATCGTCTCTATATTGAATTAGATGTGACTAAGTTCATATTGGTGTAAGAAAAGCCTGACAGACTGAAGCAGCCTTGAGCTGATGTATTATCTTGTTTCCTGGGTTATCAAAAGAAGAGAGAGAAAGAGATTTCATTACCACAAAAAGCTGAATATAATATTCAGACAGGCTTGCCAGATCTGACGAAGATCCATCAAGTCTGACATCTTGCTTTCCACAGTGACAAAACAGATCTTTGGAAACTTAGAAGCCATGAAGGCAATATCATTACTCCATACTTTCTCTCCAGCCCCATAAATGATCATTTGTTAGCTGCGCTGAAGCCTTGGGGCTGAAGAACAGCCTATACGTTTTGTAAATAAAATAAATATATAAATATGTAGCACACTGCTGATAGCACGGAAGCAGATGTAGTTGTCACAATGCTTAATAGCCATCGAGCTCTGTAGGATCTTTTAAAATAGACATTAGAATCATGTGCAGGGCAAAATGGCTCGCAGCATCAATGTTGTGTTGGTTCAGCTGTATTGCTTAGAATTGTGTACAGCAGCATAACTGTAGGAATGTGGTAATAGTCCTGCTGGTGTCACCTGAAGACCTACCTAATCCTAATTCTGGCAGATAATCCTAAAGGAAAGCCATGAGAAGCAAAACATATTCTTACTCAGGCACTCAGGAGCTGGTTTTCACAGACACACTGCTTCTGATATTGAAGATAGTGTGCAGTTATTATGAGGAGTGGCTGTTGATGAAAGCTATGGGGGGGGCAGGGGATCGGGGATTGTGAACTGCAAGTGACTAATGCTGATTGGAGATTTTGGGAACCATAGACCCCAAAAGTTAGCTTTCCCAAGCTCTGCTATCAAAAAGTGTTTATTTTTATTTATTTATAGTATTTATATTCTGCCCTTCTCACCCTGAAGGGGGGAACTCAGAGTGGATCACAGAACACATATGCGGCAAACATTCAATGCTGTTATACACTGAAAAGACAGACAACTGTACATAGATAGAGGTATATATAGGTTTTCCCATCATCAGCATCTTAGAGGCTGTGCTCACTTCCAGCAACAGGGAGGTGCCGTCACTCAGCTTTCCCTGCTGAAAAGCTTTTGTTTGTAAACTTCCTGCTTGATTGAATCACCGGCACTGTTCTGGCATTTCTCTATAGGTGCCTTCCCACTTTAAACAGTACTTATTTGTCTACTCGCATTGCTGTTTTCGAAACTGCTACATAGGAAGGCAGAAGGTGGGCTAAAAGCCAGGAGTTCATCTTGACCCAGGCTTCGAACTGTCAACCTTTCGGTTGGCAACATTTACTGCAGCTGGTGGTTAACCTGCTGTGCTGAAGCACAGCACTCCTTGAACTTTTCCCTCCTTGAATTTTTCTGACCCTGTTTTAAGCTCTTGAGAAAGGTGATCCATCACTATATCTTCTGTAAATTAACTCCTAATTGTGCAGCAACTAGGTTTCCCCCCTCTCCCAAATCCTCTACCCATAATTGGTTTTGTAACAACAACAACAACAACAACAACTTTATTTTTATACCCCGCCTCCATCTCCCTGATGGGACTTGGGGCGGCTTCCATGAGACCATGCCCAACAGAACAGTTAAAACATAACACATTAAAATGCATATCAACAAAATAATAACAAAAGCAATATAAGAAAATAAAAACAACATTAAACAGTGTATAAAACAAACTAGGTGACCATAGTTTTCATGATTTTATTTATTTATTTACTATATTTACATAGTAATCTCATCATCCAAATATTCCATATTCCTATATTCGTTACACTGCCTTTTCAAATGCCTGTTCAAATAACCAGGTTTTCACTGTCCTCCGAAATGCTAACAGGGAGGGGGCCAATCTAATGTCAGTAGGAAGGGCATTTCACAGCCGAGGGGCCACCACTGAGAAGGCCCTGTCTCTCGTCCCTCTCAAAAACACTTGCGACGCAGGTGGGATCGAGAGCAGGGCCTCCCCAGACGATCTTAATGTCCTAGCTTTGGAAAGGACAAGAAAAAAAGGAAGAGGTTCCAAGAGTTATCTGTAGGACCCAACATTCCCGCCAGTTGTAGCTAAAACAATTCTGGGAGATGACTATCCAACATTTGTTTTAAAATCTTCACAATGCATGCTGCTTATACACTTTTATGATACGCTGGGGAAACCTCTAGACCTCCAGATGTAATTGGACTTCAGTTTCTAGCTTCAGCTAGCACAGCTAATGATCAGAGATGATGATTGTAATCTAGGGTCCAACAGTCCACATGTTTCCCATCTGTTCCCCATCTCTGTTAATTGTCCTTCATTAACCTTTTCTTCACAGCAAATGTATTTTTACACTTTTCATCATTTTAAACGACCTTTTGTGCGCCTTTTTCTCCTCCGTGATATCTTGGCTAAGATGAGGTAATCAGAACTGTACACAGCATACCACGCATAACAACAAGTATGTTACTTCAATTAAAAATTCCAGCTCCAGCTCCAACAAGGCACTTTACATAAAACATATAAAAGTCACTACAATTACAACACAGGTATTAATGTTAAGGTGTTGGCCTTAACCCTGTTGCTTGTCCCAATTAAAAGAGCCCAGTGAATAAATGGAAACTTGGCAAGTCAACATTTATGTGAGCTTTGTTGATTAAATGAGTCTCTTTGAACTGGAACTAACCATTGGATTGATACCATTCATTTCAAACCAATAGCAGCTAGAATTCTTCAGACACTGTATGTAAATAATTCTAATATAAGCAGCAATAAAAAGCTTCAAACTTTGCTTTAAAAACAGCAGTTTATTATGATACACCTTTTCCCAAGAGAAAGTAAGTTTGAAGCATAGGAACTTCAACTGAGGGCGAATTCAATAATCCCGGTTGTAAGACCATAGGTGTCTTTCATGTTACACAGATATAGCCCTTTGATACCTCTTTAGTTGTCATGGAGCCACCCAAGGAACAATGAGATTTGTAATTCTTTGAGATATTTGGAATTTTCTGTCGATGCACCTCATGAAAAATACAAATCCCAGGACACAAAAGGATGCAGCCATGATGGGTAAAATAATTGTGTAACATGAAAAGACCCCAGATGTTATGGACTGTTAAAATTGTTTTATGGTAATGATAATTTTATTTTTCAGTCTCTGTCCCAGCAATTCCACTTTAGGTTAATCAATTAAATGAAAGTGTATTTAATTAAATGCTTCCTTTTTGTTGGAAAAGACCTAACTTAATTGGTAAGAATTACTTAGAATCATAGACTAGTAGAAAGGAGCCCCCAGTGGCACAATAAGTTGAACCCTTGTCCCGGCAGGACTGCTGACTGAAAGGTCGGCGGTTTGAATCTAGGGAACCAGGTGAGCTCCCATCTGTCAGCTCCAGCTTCTCATGCAGGGATATGAGAGAAGCCTCCCACGGGATGGTAAAACATCCGGGCATCCCCTGGGCAACATCCTTCCAGGTGGCCAATTCTGTCACACTAGAAGTGACTTGCAGTTTCTCAACTTGCTTCTGCCACACACAAAAAGAACCATAGTTTTATGGTACTTCCCATCGCTGCTCTTTGTCACATTATCCCTGTGTGAAAAGAGTCCCTTTTCACAAAGCTACATCTTTATGGTGTTTCAGAGTGTGGCATCTTTCCTTCTACTATTTAATCTGATATTTCAGCTTCACGTTTCTTCTAGCTGGCACGGCAACATTGTGTGTGGACATGCCTTGAAGTTACCTGTTGACTCCTTGAATTTCAAAGGGTTTCCTTGGGCAAGGACTACTCAGAGGTGGTTTTGCCAATTCCTTTCTCTGAAATATAAGTTACAGAACTTGTAATTCCTTGGCAAACTCCCATCTGGTTAAGTACTAACCAGAGCTGACCCTTCTTGGCTTCCAAGATGAGAAAGAATCTGGTACCTTGAGGTTATTATCTGCCTGTGCTTAAGGTGTCATGTGATTCTGTCCTATTTCCTAAGAAATGCTATCAGAAAAAAACATTGATAAATTGAAAGCAAAGATAGCCAAATTATTTTTTTAATCAATCAGCCTCTTGGAAATAGAGGAAAGTGTTTTAATAGTGGGTTCTGTACTTCCTCCCTATTATGTGCTTTTAAACTGTTTTAGTTCATTTGTGTTTTAAATATGGTAATCTATTTATTGAGAATATTATCATTTATTCTAGTTTTAATTTTATCTGTTTTTAATTATGTTTATGAGACACCCTCATAAACCCATACTGAGAGCAGAGGGAATAAATAAATATACGAAGGCATGGAAACCAGAAAATCCGCAGCCAATCAATACCTTTGTTAAGACTAAGAAAAATAATATGCAAAGTTTTACACTGTTTAGAAATTGTTGTCAGACTAAATGGTAGAAAAAGCAGGCAGCACAGGAAAGAAGATCAAAAGAGTAAAAAAGTTAGGCTAGATGTCTAGGCATAAGGTTTGCATTTAGATCCAGCCTCCAGATGGAGATTGAAGATTGAAAGCATTAGTCACTGCTAGGTGCTGCAAGCATCAAGTTACACCAAGGATCTGGGGACAAAAAAGCAACGAATGACCCAGCCTCCAGGCCAATTATTATCCAAACCTGTCTCTAGTCTTAAATGAAATGCACAGGTTTCTGGTTAGAAAATTAATTTTCCTGCTTGAAAATTAGTTTCTGACAGCTTCTAAAGTGCTTTCCAAATGAAAGGAGAAATGATTGAAGAGAGAGTCTCAGAGAGAGCAGCTGAGATGCCTGATAAGGAGAGAGGTCTCCTTTTGCTTTCTGGGCTAGAAAAGAGGGAGTTTGAGCCAGGTTATATAGTTGTTAAAAGGTTGAATGTAGGCTGAGGAGACCTGGGATAATATCTCTTCTTACCCAGGAAAAGCATCGATCTTATTTCATACTTATAGTCTGCCTCGGTTCAGGCCACCTACCAGAGTTGATATGAAGCTATAATTTGGTAGACTTGGTATATTGCCCTGAGCTCTGCGGAGAACAGTCATGGTATAAAATGGAAAAAACAATTACAGTTACAATCAATGCTTTTAGTCAAGAGCTGAAGCAGCTGATTTGGCACACAGGCTCTCAAAGAAGAAGAGAGGCTAAAAGCTATCAGCCATTTCCCAATATGAAACAGTAAGAAGGGCTTTGGTCATGCCCTCTACTTACTAGGCATCACAACCACTTACAGACATCCCAAGATGTGTTGCTAATGCCTAAGGAGAACTGTAAACGACCTCCCATGCTGCATTCTGTCAATTCAAAGCGCATAGAAGTCAAGGCTCACCAAATTATTAGGATACCTAATTCATACCCCTGACCTACCTCTGTGCTAATGGTTTTGATTTTAAAAAATCATTCGAGTATATTAACTAATTTCATAATTATCAAGATGCGTGAAGTGGATTGAAGTATCTGCCACATCCTGTTACATCAGTGTTTCTCAACCTTCCTAATACCGTGACCTCTTAATACAGTTCATCATGTTGTGGTGACCCCTAACCAGAAAATTATTTTCATTGCTACTTCATAACTAATTTTGCTACTGTTATGAATCGTAATGTAAATATCTGATATGCGAGATGCATTTTCATTCACTGAAATAAATTTGGCACAAATACCTGATACGACCAAATTTGAATACTGGTGGGGTTGAGAGGGATTGATATTGTCATTTGGGAATAGTCGTTGCTGGGATTTATAGTTAACCTACAATCAAAGAGCGTTCTGGACTCTACCAACAATGGAATTGAACCAAACTTGGCACACAGAACTCTCATGACCAACAAAAAATACTGGTGGGGTTTGGTAGGCATTGACCATGAGCTTTGGAGTTGTGGACTCAACAACGATGGATCTGGACCAAACTTGGCACGGATACTCAATATGCCCAAATGTGAACACTGGTGGAGTTTGGGGAAAATAGACCTTGACATTTGGGAGTTGTAGTTGCTGTGATTTATAGTTCACCTACATTCAAAGAGCATTCTGAACCCCACCAATGATAGAATCGGGCCAAACTTCCCATACAGAGCTCCCACAACCAACAGAAAATATTGTGTTTTCTGATGGTCTTTGGCGACCCCTCTGACACCCCCTCACGACCCCCCAGGGGTCCCAACCCCCAGGTTGAGAAACGCTAAGTTACATGAAAAGACTAGCCATGGAGCCAGTCCACTCCAGCCCTAACAGAATGTGCCTTAATTCTTTCTGATATTTAATTTTCTTTGATATGAAAAGCAACAGAACTATTACGAATGGCATTCCCATCATAGGCATGTAAGCTACCGATCTTTGTGTGCAAGTAAAGACATAGGTATGGATCTGGTGATTCAGCCCCTGTACAAGGTGGAGAGGGAGAGGACACTTGAGCTCCTAGGAGAGACTAATATTAATACCAGGAGATGTCCTCTGGCAGAGCAGCAACCTATGTTCCTTTCACTCAATTAGGTAAGTAATTAGGCAGGAAACATCTACATTTACAAAGGTGAACAAAATCGAACTTTTCTACATCTTCTCCTTTTGTTGCACATCTCACAAGATTGCCTGGATATGGACAACTATTGAAGTAAATTCCTTGTTTTTATTCCAGGCAAAAGTGATAATAAAGTAGGGTCTTGACTGTGGCAGGAGGATGCATGGAACTGGTAAAGCTGGACTTATTTGGAGTGCAGAAACAGGCAATGATAGTTCAATGTCAGAATGACAGTCTGAGTTGAGTTCGTTGGGAGTAGATTGAAGCCGGCAAGAACACCGCAACACAGTTTGTGTTTGTTTCCATGGCTACAGGAGAGCCTCCAAAAACCTAAAACAAATGGCAATCCCCATTCTTTTATTCAGATTGAGAACAAAAATATCTACAAGAATTCCTTTGCCAAAAAGAATGTTTAGATGACTCAATTCTGTGGGATTAGTCTTTCAGTGAAAATGGCCTTCCCTTCCTTTGCCTCTCTGGCTAGCCTCTGAAGTGTACCCTGCATCCACCCACATCTTTTCCTATAGGATTGCTGCCGAAAGGTGACAAGATCAGTAGAGGATGCTGAAGTCAAGACCAATGTGCTCAAGAAGACTTCAGTGATCCTGGAGGTGAGATTACTGACAGAATGTGAGAGTGGCGAGGATGACTGGCAAAGTTCCTGTTGCTTGCATGAGTAATACAACTCCATGTGGAAATGTAAGGACAGCAAGAGCTTCATAATTGTCACAAATTAGCACGATAATTATAAAGGCTCACAGCTGAGCACTACAGACAGTGTTACCAAGTTCTAGAGAATGGCAGAAGCCAGATAATTATTTTTAAAAATTGAATTTCTAGATCTCCCAGTGGCAAGTAGGGGGGAAAAGGAATAAATTTAAAAATTAGAGGATCTGATGTGAGATTCCTAGGAGAAACTTAAATATCGGCCTCTTGCCATTAAATACAAATTGAGTGTTCCTTATCCAAAATGTTTGGGAGCAGAAGTGTTTTCGATTTTAGATTTTTCACATTTTCGAATACAGTATCAATAGTTACACACACACACACATATATATACTTAATGAGATATTTTGAAGATGGGACCTATGTTTAAACATAACATTCATTTATGTTTCATATATCTTACACAATATGGAGTATTTTGGATTTTGGAATTCTGGATAAGACCTTCCTTTCAATTTTACAGTTGGATTGAGTTCCTGAACAACAACAACAACAACAACAACAAAATTTCTTCCTGAAAATGGACAAAAATAAATAATATTAAAATACTAGTGCTACAATTCTAAAATCATTATGTGAATAACATAACTTTGTCCATTGAATATGTTTAGGGACATTGTATACTGAGTACAATGTATGCTAGAAACAATATTGAAGAGGACATAATATGGAAATACAGAATATGGTAAAATACTTTTGAGGGTGTACGTCTAAATAACCAAGATTTTGTCTAATTGTGGAAGCTACGTAGGATCAGCCCACTTAAGACTGCCAGTGAATATCAGGTGCTGTATTTCAGAGGAAGGAAATAGCAAACCACCTCTGAATATTTATTGCTTATGATATTCATGGAGTGGCCCAACAGGCAAATTGAATGCACATATACCCAGCATCCAGAATACATGGGCTCTGGTATTCTGAGAATTGTGGTCTTCAGTGCAGTGACTTTGATTATTCTTTTGCCTCTGTTGAATTGGACAACTTTTGCAGGCTCCTATTGCTATTCATTACTTGCATTTCATTTTGTATGCCACTTATATTTTGTTGCATTTTTTAAAATGACACAAACTGCCCTGGCAGTTTTTAAATTGAAGAGTAGCCCATGCCTTGAATTAGGGATGTAAATCCTTCCCTATTTTGTCCTTGCATACAATGATAAACAATTACACTATTGGCTGTTGGAGAAAATGAATATGCCACTGCAGTATTCTCCCTGTATCCAATTCCCTGAAATGTTGTAGAGGACTTAACTCTGTGGTGAAAACCCAGTAGGCCTGTTTTCTCAGGAAAGCAGCATTTTAGTGCAAAAACATGCTTTTCACCACATAATGATTCTGTCACAATATTTTGGGATGTTCAAACTTGGACAAAATTATTCAAAACTCTTCAACCAAGGAATGAGTCATGACTCTTTCTATCTCTATCTTTTAATACCTATAATTTCATTGTTGCATGTAACCACTGATACAAATTGCAACTATTTCAAATCGTTGTTGCAATCATAGAATTATAGAATAATAGAGTTGGAAGAGACTACATGGGCCATCTAGTGCAATTCCCTACCATGCAGGAAAAGCACAATCAAAGTACCCCTGACAGATGGTCAATTCATTCTCTGGTGACCAGTCTTCTTCTACTAAGAAAGACTGGTCTTCTTAGTGTTGGGGCCAGATATGTCTATCTCTCTGGTAGAACCTGCCAGTTCTAGGGCTCCGCTGGCATAGCCTTGAAGAATGCAGACATAGCTAACAAACTATGATGAGGCATCAAAAAGGACTTTGCTGTGGGGAGCAGCATGTGAAAAACTATATAAATAAAAATGTAACGTTTGTTTGTGGGATTAACATAATTCAAAAATCACTGGACAAATTGACAAACAAATTTGGAGACAACACACCTATCAGGCCAACAAATGACCATCATTCATAAAAACACTGAAAAACACAGCAGAAGAGACTTAAAAAGCAAAAGAAGAAGAAATACATTGCAACACATGCGCAAATCCACACACACACACACACACATATATGCAAACACACACATACACACAAAACACATATACACAGACTGGGTGGCAGCAACACGTGGCAGGGGATGGCTAGTACCAAATAAAAAACATGAGAAAACCAGCCCATGACTCTTTCCCTTTGCTGCTTCTTTCAGGAGAAGCTGCGTTTCTTACAGCGGCAAGTTCAAGTAGAGGACCTCAGTCGGCAGGGCCGTGAATGGGAAGACCTGGAACAGAGGATGGCATCTGGAATCTCCAAACAATTTCTGGATCTGGTCGGCAGTGCAACGACAATAGCTTTGAGACCTTCCAATTCCGAGGAAGGTGAACTACCACCATCTACTGCTGCTATCCTGGCATCCATCAACAACCTGCGAGTGGCGCTGGAGAGTGGGCATTTGCGAGCAGGACCAGGGGATGAGGGGAGCATTGATGGAAAGTCAAATACGGCTTCTACCTTGGCTTGCATTCCTCTGCTGGAAGAGATCAGGTAGTGTAGGGAAGGTGTGGGAAAAGCGATGTCTTCTTCGATACCTATGGCCCACTGGTTGGTTTTGGGCTATTACTGCCACAGTCTTTTATTATTGGGCATTCTGTCTGAGGCTTCTAAGAGCTGAAGTCCAGTGTAGTGTCAGATATTTCCCTGTCCTATGTTGGAGATGTGAAGTCCCTTTCACAATGCAATGGTGTCTTTCCACTGCCCTACAGGAAATGTGTGCTGGAGCTCTCAGGGCAGTCTCAGAGGGAGGCATTGATCCAGAAGGAGGTGCTGCGATTATTGGCCCAGCTGGGTGTGCGCCTGGAAGGGCTGATTCCACAGTGGGAGAGGACACAAGTGGAACATAGCCAGGCACTCAGGATTCTGCGAGAGGAACTGGATGAGGTCTCTGCCACGTACGTGCATCTCCCACAGAAATAGGCTTCCCATTTCTCATGGTGCCTTCTGCCCACTAGTGACCAGGGCTCTTTTGTAATCTCTTGGTTCCATGCCTGGAGAATCCAGCAAAGGAAAGGCTAGGTTTAAGCAGCAACAGGACCCAATCCAGCTACTTTTAGACTGGATAATTTGTAGATTTAAAATACAGGTTGAGCATCCTTTATCTCTAAGATATTTCATTGTGTATTATGTATTCCAAAATCTTTTTAAAAATCCAAAACTTCTGGTCCCAAGTATTTCAAATAAGGGATTATCAACCTGTATATCCTAGGGTGTAGTAGTTAGGTGTGCTGTGAATCCCTTTTCTCTCAAATAAGCTGATCAAAAGAGGACAGGTAATATATAAACCTACTATTTGGGTGATGGGTTTTGCAAAATGAAACAGTGACACCCCCTTCCCTTGATCTTGAAATCAAAAGCCCTACAGATTTATACAATTGGTACATATGCCTTTTTAAAATCATGGAACCACATTGTTGTGCTTAAGGCAACTGCCTTTTACTTTTCTTCTTATGCCAGGGTCAAGCGGACCTCAGTGTCCCTCACCCAGCTTCGTGCTGACCTAGATGGGGTGCGACAAGTAAAACCACTGCTGGAAGATGTGTCTCGGCATCTGTCAGTGCTCAAGCCCTTGGAAACACCTGAGAGGCAAACTGTCGGCTGTGCCAGATGTTCCAGGTGCTTTTTTCAATTACATGAGGACTCACATGGGTTTTGAAGATGGAGAATTATAGGCCAACCTGGGAACAAGAAGGCTAAGCAAGGCCGGGCTAAGTGAGGGCAGAAACAAGGAGACTGAATGTGGAACATTGAAAGAAAAACTTGGTTTCATCAATTTCAAACATGTTGCAGAGCTATTCTCCGCACTCAGCACTTAATCGTTCATCCATGATACTATTTTTAAAATGTGTGTTGTGACAGTGAATTTTTTAATGTGTTGTTGTTGATTTTATTTTATTGTGTTGGTTTTAATCTGTATTTTTTGGGCTCGTCCCCTTGTAAGACACCCCAAGTCCCTTCAAAGAGATGGTGGCGGGGTATAAAAATCAAGTTAGTATTATTATTTTACTGACACAAAAACACAGTATGTAACAGCAAACGAGATATATATGCTGGATTTCTTGTCAGAAAATCTCAAGTCGAACACTTCCCAAGCATCTAGGACTGTGTGATGTATTTTCGAATGATGCATGCAGATCCAAATAAGGTGGCCTTTTGCAGTTGATAGATCATGATTTTGTCGATATTTATTGTTTCCAAATGCTGGCTGAGATCTTTTGGCACGGCACCCAGTGCTGGTTTATGCCAGAGCCTTTGCAGTTCGATTTTGAGGTCCTGATAATGGCTGAGTTTTTCCTGTTGTTTTTCCTCAATGCGACTGTATGGCGACATCAATAATCCAAACCTTTTTCTTTTCCACAATCGTGATGTCTGGCGTATTGTGTTCCAAATCTTTGTCAGTCTGGATTCAAAAGTTCCACAGTATTTTTGCGTGTTCATTTTCTACTACCTTTGCAGGTTTATGATCCCACCAGTTCTTTACTAATGGCAGGTGGTACTTGTGATATAAGTTCCAATGAATCATTTGGGCCACAGAGTTATGTCTCTGTTTGTAGTCTGTTTATGCGATTTTCCTTCAGCAGCTGAGGATATGGTCCATGGTTTCATCAGCTTCCTTGCACAGTACTCATTTTGGGTCATCAGCTGATTTTTCAATCCTGGCCTTAATGGCATTTGTTCTGATGGCTTGTTCCTGGGCTGCAATTATTATTATTATTATTATTATTATTATTATTATTATTATTTACACAAAAGCACATTATGTCACAGCAAACGAGATCTATATGCTGGATTTCGTATCACAAAATCACAAGTCGAACACTTCCCAAGCATCTAGGACTGTTAATACTAATATATATATAATAAAATATTAATAAGTTGTACTTTGGAGGGTTGCTTTGGTTTTCACAATAAAAATTGCAAAGTCAATGACTGATTTTTGATTTGTGTTAAAATGCAGGATTGAATAGTTGACATTATTATTATTTTACTGACACAAAAACACAGTATGTCACAGCAAATGAGATCTATATGCTGGATTTCATATCACAAAATCACAAGTCGAACACTTCCCAAGCGTCTAGGATTGTGTGATGTATTTTCGAATGATGAGTGCAGATCCAAGTAAGGTGGCCTTTTGCAGTTGACAGATCGTGATTTTGTCAATGTTTCTTGTTTCCAAATGCCGGCTGAGGTCTTTTGGCACGGCACCCAGTGTACCAATGACCACTGGGACCACCTGTACTGGTTTATGCCAGAGTCTTTGCAGTTCGATTTTGAGGTCTTGATAGCAGCTGAGTTTTTCCTGTTGTTTTTCCTCAATGCGACTATTATTATTATTATTATTATTATTATTATTATTATTATTATTATGGCAATACTGCAGCAGGCTTTTAGGAAAATAGAAATCCCTACCCAAGCAATCTATATATTGCTCTATAAGAGTGAAAAACATGCATCTTGATAACTGTTGGATTGCCTCTTGCAATATTCTTCACTATAGGCTGTGCTGACTAGAGCTTATGAGCGTTGCAGTCTAAATACATGTCCATCCCTAGCCATGTATTAGTGTAACATCAGAGCAACAAACCCATACTTCTCTTCCAATTCATAGGTTTTCCCAGTTCTCAGGAGAGAAGGGGAATGTGCTATGTAACACAAGTATGCTTCCTAGAAGCAGTTGTGCTGTTATTTCTAGACATCGCTTACATACTGTTTCATGCAAAATCTGATACACCCCATAGTTTCTGGATTTCTGAGAAACTACATATTCATTTCTTTTAAGAAGCATGTTGTCTTCAGCAAGTATTTTTAGAATATTAAGAGGAGCAAGAACTGTTCAGTCTTTAATGGCTAATTAGTTTTCCCTTATGGCTTTCTGATCATATCGCATGCATGCAGGCTGCACTGCCTCTGTTTATTTGTCCACCTCCTGATCACACAGTGTTCCTTTCCTGATCCTACAATCTTGCATTTGTAGCAAAGGAATACAACTCTGAAATTTGTGCAAAATAAGCACTGTTTTATAGAAGTGGTGGATTTGTACCATTTGCTTTTTATTGCAGAAATCTGTATCTTTGTTGTACTGAATTGGGGATCTCACTGATGCCTTAATTTGGGCTGATCTGGGGTGTTTTTCCCCCTTGTAGCAGGGCATGAAAAGGGGTAAGCAAATTGTTGATTCCAATCCTAATGTAAATTGTGTCCTCTCTTTTCTCCCTACCTTGTTCCTGGTCACAGCTATAGTTTCGTGAACACAGAGTCACTGCGACAGATGGTTGAACAGGCTGTGGCACCCATCTTGGAGGAGCTGAAGCAGAGGACTCCACCCCCAGGCACATGCTCCAGCTGCCAGCTTTTACAGAAGAAGATAATGGTACCGTGAGAAACAGAGTACGCCAACCCCATACCCCCCCCCCCATAAAAAGATATCAGAGTAGAGCCTTGCTAGAGCATTCTTCTGGCCCAAGTTGACGTAGGCCCAGATAGATAGAACAATGCCACAGAGATCTGCTATGGATATGCTTGTATGTAGCTGTCTTATATTAAGTAAAAGCATAAGTCCATCTACACTATAGAATTAAAGCAGTTTAAACACCATTGCCATGGTTCAATGCTATGGAATCATGGCAGTTGTAGTTTTACGAGGTCTTTAGCCTTCACTCCCAAAGAGTGGTAGTGCCTCATCAAATTACAACTCCCATGATGTCCACGGCATTGAGCCATGACAGTTAAAGTGGTGTCAAACTGTATTCATTCTACAGTTTAAATGCACTCTTAGTCATTGTTTTTTCTGACTGGTCAGCTAAAAGGCTCTCCATAGTCTCTGGCAAGGTTCTGTGGATATCATATTTACCTGAAAATGTCAACGATTTAACCTGAAACCATCTGCACTAAGCAGGTGTTCTCTCACTGACCTATGGCCACTCATAAGCTCAACTTCTCCAGTAGCCACTTTTCATCCATGTCTTAGTTCTCTTTATCCCTAAGAATAATACAGGGTCTGTCTTATAGGAAGGATATTGGGAGCAGGGGAATAATAATAATACAGTAGAGTCTTGTCTATCCCACCTTCGCTCATTCAATGTTCTGTATTATCCAATGCAGTCTGCTTCCCACCCGGATCCACTACCGTTTCAATATATTGCAATGTTTTGGTGCTAAATTCGTAAATACAGTAATTACTACATAACATTACTCTGTATTGAATTGCTTTTTCTGTTGATTTGTTGTAAAACATGATGTTTTGGTGCTTAATTTATAAAATCATAATGTAGTTTGATGTTGAATAGGCTTTTTCTTAATCCCTCCTTATTATCCAACATTTTCACTTATCCAATGTTCTGCTGGCCCGTTTATGTTGGATAAATGAGACTCTTCTGTATTAGTAATGGTAATAATAATAATAACAATAATGACAATAACAATAATAATACATCTTTATTTATATTCCTCTTTTTTCCCTCAAGAGACCCAAAGCGGCTTACAACATATTAGAATCATGTAAACAACAACCCATATACATCGATAATAAGTATAAATAATCATAAAATAAGCAGTTTAAAACAACAATAATATACATTCACATTTTTGTGGCATCATGTCAGATTATATTGCACTTTGTTCCAGTCCATAACATTAGTTTCCTTCCATAAAGACCTGTCTAAACAGGAAAGTTTTAATTGGTTCTTGAAAGAAGAAAGGAAAGGAGCTGTTTTCAGAAGAGTAAAATACCTTTTTCATTTCACCTTCTGAGGTGACTAATTTAAATACGTCAAGAGTGGAAAAGGTGCTTCAAAAATGTATTCCCCCACCCAGTCTTATGATACAGTATTTTCCAGGTTTCTGGATTATAAATTATCTATAGCAGAGTGTTTATTTTTATGCAGATTAATAGCATGTGTCCTCTTCCAGTACTCTCCTCGCATCTATCTTCACAAAGCTCACTTTTTGAATGGTTGAGACTGCAGTCCTATATACATTTACATGGAAATAAGGATTGCACTGTAAGCGCCTTGTTCTCTTGTGCCCTATTCATCCGTTCATCCCTTATTCAGTGCAGAGACCTTTTAGCTTCTAGTGCTTCGTGTGTTTACCTCCAATCAGTTGTAACTAGGGTACGCGAGAACAGCCTATGGTTTTTCCAAATCCCTTTTCAGGAAATCACATTAAGCTTCTGGCAGGAGTAGCCTGTCCCTGTCAAGGCATGGAGGAAAAGAGGAAGCCTGTCGGATTCTCCATAGGAAAATGTGCCCCTGCTCTAGGCCCACAGAGCTATTGTGGGAGTTGAATAATAAAGATGGGGTGAGGAATGCCGGAAAACACAACCGCACAAGCAAAATTAGCTCTACTTATGGGCTTCCGGTTGGTCACTGTGGAAACTGAATGCTAGACTATAGAGAATGTTGGTCTGATCCAGTGGGGACTCCTCTTATGTTTTTGCACTGGTACAGTGAAACCTTTGTCTCTCTTCCAGCATTAGGTGTCATGCAAATGAAATTACCAAGTAGAGGGAGAAAACGCCTGGGATTTGGATAGGGCAGAGGCTAATTTAAATCCTTCCACAGGCTTATAATGCAACAGGTGGCGTTTAGCAGCTCTTCCAGTCTAGTATTCTTGCAATAGGGATGAGTGGGTGATGAGCATCAATTAATTACAAGTTCACCCCTTAATAGTGGTGGTAGCTCCTCTCCTTGACAGCCTGCTATTAAAAGACAATGCACAATTACATTGGTTTGTGTCAAGTAAAAGCTAAGCAGTCTAGCTAATTGTTTTTTCTGTGCCTTACACTAAGCAAAGGAAACTGCAGTTGAGTATCTCTTATCCAGAATGCCAAAATCCAATATCCTCCAAAATAATCCACATGGCTGATAGGGACTCATTTACTTTCTGATAGTTTGATGTACACAGACTTTGTTTCATACACAAAATTATTTAAAATATTGAGTATAAATGTGTTGTTTGTATTTTGGGCTTGTCCCTTGTAAGCCGCCCCGAGCCCCATTGGTTGGTGGGTTATAAAAATAAAATTATTATTATTATTATTATTATTATTATTATTATTTCATGGCTAGAATCACTGAGTTTTCAGACTGTATGGCCATGTTCCGGAGGCATTCTCTCCTGATGTTTCGCCCACATTTATGGCAGGACTCCTCAGAGGTTGTGAGGTCTGTTGGAAACTAGACAAGTGTGGTTTATATATCTGTGGAATGTCCGGAGCGGAAGAAAGAACTCTTGTCTGTTGGAGGCAAGTGTGAATGTTGCCATTTAATGCTAATCAAGGTGCCCAATTGCAACATTCACACTTCCCTCAAGCAGATAAGAGTTCTTTCTCCCACCCTAGACATTCCACAGATATATTTCCAACAGACCTCACAACCTCTGAGGATGCCTGCCATAGATGTGGGTGAAACGTCAGGAAAGAATGCTTCTGGAACATGGCCACACAGCCCGGAAAACTCACAGCAACCCATTGGGTATAAAATTACCTTTAGGCTACATGTATAAGGTGTTTATAAAACATAAATGAATTTTGTGTTGAAACTTCACTCTCATCTCCAAGATATCTCATATGTGCATAAGTGCAACTGTCCCTCCACATTTGCAGTTTAGGCTTTTACACATTTGATTACTAATCATAGAATCATAGAATCATAGAATCAAAGAGTTGGAAGAGACCTCATGGGCCATCCAGTCCAACCCCCTGCCAAGAAGCAGGAATATTGCATTCAAATCACCTCTGACAGATGGCCATCCAGCCTCTGTTTAAAAGCTTCCAAAGAAGGAGCCTCCACCACACTCCGGGGCAGAGAGTTCCACTGCTGAACGGCTCTCACAGTCAGGAAGTTCTTCCTCATGTTCAGATGGAATCTCCACTCTTGTAGTTTGAAGCCATTGTTCCGTGTCCTAGTCTCCAAGGAAGCAGAAAACAAGCTTGCTCCCTCCTCCCTGTGGCTTCCTCTCACATATTTATACATGGCTATCATATCTCCTCTCAGCCTTCTTCCAGGCTAAACATGCCCAGCTCCTTAAGCCGCTCCTCATAGGGCTTGTTCTCCAGACCCTTGATCATTTTAGTCGCCCTCCTCTGGACACATTCCAGCTTGTCAATATCTCTCTTGAATTGTGGTGCCCAGAATTGGACACAATATTCCAGGTGTGGTCTAACCAACGCAGAATAGAGGGGTAGCATTACTTCCCTGGATCTAGACACTATGCTCCTATTGATGCAGGCCAAAATCCCATTGGCTTTTTTTGCCGCCACATCACATTGTTGGCTCATGTTTAACTTGTTGTCCACAAGGACTCCAAGATCTTTTTCACACGTACTGCTCTCAAGCCAGGCGTCGCCCATTCTGTATCTTTGCATTTCATTTTTCTGCCAAAGTGGAGTATCTTGCATTTGTCACTGTTGAACTTCATTTTGTTAGTTTTGGCCCATCTCTCTAATCTGTCAAGATCGTTTCGAATTCTGCTCCTGTCCTCTGGACTATTGGCTATCCCTCCCAATTTGGTGTCGTCTGCAAACTTGATGATCATGCCTTCTAGCCCTTCATCTAAGTCATTAATAAAGATGTTGAACAGGACCGGGCCCAGGACGGAACCCTGCGGCACTTGTCACTTCTTTCCAGGATGAAGAGGAAGCATTAGTGAGCACTCTCTGTGTTCGTCCACTTAACCAATTACAGATCCACCTCACCGTAGTTTTGCCTAGCCCACATTGGACTAGTTTCCTTGCCAGAAGGTCATGGGGGACCTTGTCGAAGGCCTTACTGAAATCCAGGTACGCCACATCATAATGGATATGATTTAAAATGTTCTCTCTGGGAATCTCTAGGTCCTTCAGTGTGACTCTGTGTCCAGTTTCTTCCAGTCATGCTGGAGGACCTAGAGAAAAGCTCTCTAGAAAAGTCTAAGTTTTCAATGCAGTTCTGCGATCAGCTTCCAGAGGAAGTCATGCAAAGAGTCCTAGAGAAGTGTCCTGTCAGGCAAAAAGTATCTCTTTCTTTATTCATGGGTTTTCATTTTTATGACGGTCCTATGACCCTGTTTATATTGGAAAGTGTTTATAAAGTTAGTGTATTACTGATGTCATGGCCTATGGCTAGTACAATAAACAATTCATTCATGACCCTGTCCCAATGCATGTGGAGGACTGACTGTCTTCCCAAATCCAAAACATGGAATACTTCAGGTCCCAAGCATTTTGAATAAGAGATACTCAGCCTGTACAGTGATAGCCCTTGATCCATATTGCCCTGTATGATCAACATGACAAAAAGCTTGGGAAAGTTGCTTTTTTGTTGTTGTTGTTTTTTTGCACTATAAGTATCAGATGCCATGATGTCTGGTGGACTGTGGGAGTTGTAGATTGAAAAAAAATAAGCTCTATGTGAATGAAAAGGAATGAATTCTGAAGTTTCAACCTCACAGGGAAGACAGGTCTGAGCACCAGGAGTGCTCCTTAAGATTGCAATTTAGTCGACTTTCCTTCTCAGTGCTTTTCCTGGCTAGGGAAATGGAAAAGGGATAAATGCAGCAGTGCACAAAGCTCCTAAAATGCTTTTCTGCAGTCAGCTCAGCCCCAAGTCAGAAAGTGTTCCTCACTCCTAATTTTTGCCGACTGGCAGCTGCTCTCAAAGTTTGCAGACAGGCAATTCTCATGTGCTGAAGCTTTCAGTTATATCTTTACTTTGTCCACTAAATTGGAATCTATATGAGAGGGGTTCTCTTTCTCTGTCTTTTTTGGGGTGGTAGTGGAGGTGGCGTAGTTGATTTCTCCATTGCTGTTGGAGCCAAGGTGTTTCACATGTCTCTTTTCCAGCAAAAAATTCCCTTGCTGTAGGCATAGTCCTGCTTCCCCCTGATGGGTGGTTGCCATGGGCACCTCACTGCCATTAGCCACTTGTATAATGAACACCCACACACTCCTCTTTGAAATAAGCAGAACCACGTGGGCACTGCCTCACATAAGCAGGTAGCCAGACAAAGAGACAGCACAAGGTTTGGTACTTAAAATGCTTGTCCAATACCAAACTAGGGGCATGTTTCCAATTATTCCTGCCCATCCTTTGCCACCTGTTCTGGCAACAGTCCCTTATAAAATCAGTTAGGCGGATGCCCTCTCGTGGCTATATTTTGGCTACTGCATGGAGCCACATATCTGGTACTAAAATATTTTTAGCTGCTAGGCTGTGCTCTGCTAGCTAACCTGCACCATCTTACATCTTTCGGCTTCCAGCAGTTATTACAACCCCTTTGCTTGTACAGTAATATTTTACTTACATTGGTAATATGGAGAGGTATGCATGGTCTGCAAACTGTGAGGCAGCAGAAACTCAGTGGGCTCTATTCTGAAATACTCCTGCTGTTCTAATAGCTGTGATACTAGCATCTCTCACTGAAGGTGAGGATTTCTGGCTCTTGAGATACTTTGGACTATAGTTCCCATAATGTCATTAGTCACACTGTCTGGGGCCGAAACATCTGCAGAGCCAAAGTTTTTCCACACCTTCCCAAGAGTTGCAAATTGATTGTGCCGCCCAAAACTAATAGCAGTAGTAGGTGAGCATGACAATAGATTCAGTTGTTTGTGCTATGCTCACTCATTGTCTTAGTTGAGTGATGGGTTCTGTAGTCCTTTTCTTTCTCTCTTTTTGTACTCCCAATTGTGCCAATCGCTGGGAGGCAGGATCTGGAACAATCAGCCCTGGATATTCATGCCCGAGCAGAGGTCCTGAGCTCAAATGTACGTCTAGCCCATGATGAGGCCCTGAGAGCCAACTATCTGGAGCAGGCAAGAATTGGAACAGAGTGAGTAAACACAGAAGTATCCCTTGTTGCCATCTCCCTTTCTCCATACATTCCGCATCCCATGAGACATGCTTTGGATGAACTCTCTCCTGCCATTGCCAAGCTCTTCAATAAAACAAAAAACAAAAATGCTTCGGTCACAATAAAGCTGACTCAAAGGGACTGTTATTGCCTACATTACCAGTGCCAAATTAAAGACATGTTTGTCAGCGGGAACTCAGTATGAGTTTTAATTTGTTTACTATCCAAAACATATTTTGGCTAAACACTAGGAGAAAATACCTCACAGAAAAGAGGTGTTCAACAGTGGAATAAATTGCTTTCCTTTTTCTAGCAGTGGTTGGGCAGCCATCTGCCTGGGGCTACAGCTTCATCCTGCTTTGAACACTAACTCCAAGGTTCCTTGAAACTCTTTTGATACCGAATCCAAATGTGAATATAATACAGTTAGTCCTCCACATTTGCAAGATTAACTTTTGTGCATTTTATTGATGCATTCTAGGAATCTTTGGATTCTCATGTGATGCTTTAGTCAGGTTCCAGTAGAAGTTGACCAAGAGTAGTTTCAGAGAACCTAGAAATTATTAGAGAAGTGTTCTCATAGAGCAGTGGTTCCCAAACTTTTTTTTTGACTGGTACCACTTCGCCAGGAACCATTTTGACCAGCGACCACTCTCCAACTTTAGTACCAAAAGGATTACGAATCAGTTTTTGGCCAGCTTTAGATTCTGTTTGGTTATTTGGGGTGCTGATTCAGGTGCGTTGGATTTGGGGTGCATTGGCTAGAACACATCAGCTCTAGTTTTTGATACAGAACATAGGCCATCCAAGTCACCATCTGCTCGCCCACAGAAAACCATATTTAATAAGCCTCAGCACTATAAGAGGGTTTTGCGGTAAGGCAGCGGACCATATTTTAGTTCTTGTGGACCACAGGTTGGGAACCACTGTCTTAGATTTAAAAAACAGCAATTTCTTTAGTCATATTTTATTTATTTCCACATGGATCATGTGTCCTTAGCCCTAGCAAATATGGAGGCTGACTGTATTCATTTTGAGGTTGGGGAAAACATAATACAGCACATATACAAACCTTGTTATAGTGATAGGAGGTTTACAAATTGTGATTGGAGAGACAATAATCCTGCTTTTTCCCCTGCGTACGCCGATTCTGACAAAAATGCACCCCACTAATCCTCTACACAGCAGCCAATAATTTAAGAAAGCATTTCAGGTGATACATTAGTATCATAACAAGCTTGGCACTAAAATGGTGGTAAACAAGGTGCAAAGCGATGAATAAAGAGGGGACTGAATGAAAACAACGAACTGGAGAATTGAATGATGAGACTGTCAACTAGGATATAGTGACTTGAATGACAGACTCCTAAAAGCCAGTGCCTTCCAGATGTACTGGACTGCAAGTCCCATTATCTTCAGCCAGCATGGCTATTGGCACCAGATTGGAAAAATGTGATCTTGATTATGAAGTCTTCTCACTTTTTTTTGTCATTCCTTTCAGCAGGGATAAATCCAATAGCCTGGATTACTTGCAGAACAAGCAGGGCTCTCTCCATTCCCAGCTGGTGCTGGCCTCTCAGGAAGGGGTGCCTCAGTCCCCAGGAGCCTCCCTTGCTGCTAATGTTGCTCTCACCAAGCGGAGCTCTTGCCCTGCTGAAATGGATCGACAACCCCAATAATAGAGAGAAACAGCCACAACTTGATGCTGCTCAACCTTTTGCAAACCAGAAGATAACTCCAGGAATGAACCTACCAGTTGAGATTTATTAAGCCTGGAAATTGCTCGTTCCTTTGCATGAATAAAGAGTTAACATTTTTTGTTCTTTTGAAAACAATTTCTTGGGGTTATTGGGGACTTTCATATTTTACGTGTGTATTTATAGAACAACAACTTGGTGCTTGATTCTTTTCTAGTGAAATCAATCTCCTTGCAAGCCCACCAGTTTTTCTTAGCGACTTTCAAATACAAAAAAGAACAAAATGTCAGCGCTGCCAGCAAAACTGAATCCATTAATAGAAAACTCATTCCTTTTTCATTCCTCAAATTAGGTTTTCTTCTTCTAACTACTTCATCACACTAGATAACGAATCCACTTTAAATCCGGTTTCTGCCTCCTGCAGAATTTTGGGGTTTGTGGTTTAGTGAGGCTATTAAAGGCTCCTCCCTAAACTACAAACCCCACAATTCTGCAGGAGGCAGCAATCTAATTTAAAATGGATTCATTTTCTAGTGTGATCAATCTACCATTCCTCATTTCATGTAATATTGTGCATAATTTGGTCTCAAGTGTGTAATGCTGTGTTGTAATATTTGGAAAAGGACTTGTGACTTTGACCATTTTTTATCTTTCATTTTCTAAGCAATGTCAGACTTACCGTTAGGCCTCTGGCAGCACAATTTGTGGCAGCCTCTAACTTTCTCCCTGACCATTCTCTTCTCCATGCAGAGCTAAGCATAGCAAACAGCCTGTCCTACACCTCTTACATAATAATGCCAAACTTTGGAGGACCTTGTTCTGTTGCCTTAGTCTGGTGAAGGAAAATTCAAGCAGTGGTCCAGTTAGATTGCCTTTATGAAGGAGGTAGAGGGGAGGTTTTAGATGCAGTGCAAAGACTAGAGAATAACACCCTGCATACTGTGCAGGCATAAATGTGGTTCAAATGTGTTGGGAAAGCAGTATGGGCATGTGCTAAAGTGCTCTTTTTCCTATGTGTCTAGCATTCTTGATTTTTAGTTGGTTCTTACCATAATAAAGAGGCAGTGGGACTCCTTCAAGATTTTATGTGATGTATAAATAGCTTCCGGTGGCACAATGGGTTAAAGCGCCAAGTTGCTGAATTTGCTGATCGAAAGGTCACACGTTCGAATCCGGGATCTGTGTGAGATCCCACTGTTAGCCTCAGCTTCTGCCAATGTAGCAGCTCAAAAACAAGCAAATTTGTTTAGATCAATAGGTACCACTTCAGCAGGAAGGTAATGGTGCTCCATGCAGTTATGCCGGCCACATGACCTTTAAAGTGTCTACGGACAATGCTGGCTCTTCGGTTTAGAAATGGAGATGAGCACCAACCCCCAGAGTTGGACACAACTGGACTTAATGTCAGGAGAAAACCTTTACCTACTTATAAAGAGCCTCTTTGCTTAATCATTCCCAAATTCTAGCACGTAGAACTGCTGGAGAAAGATGCTTACCAATATTCTTTTGCCAGATTCAGTCCTACCCTTTCCATAAAGTGAAGGTTTCAATATGGCAAAGACTTATGTTTCCAGAGCTGATCTTTTGGCCCACACACTCAAATCAAGTTTCTGTTCCAAAGTAAACCAACCAGTTCCTTCCCATCACAACTCACCAAGGCCACACATGCTTCCTTTTGCAAGTTCTCCCACCCTGTGGTTTTATTCAAATCTGAGATGCTAACAAATCAAAACAGAAAAAGACCAACCTGTTCTTCTGCGTCACCTTGCAGATCCCCACTTCATCCTTCCCAAAGGTATCATGCTCGACAAAACCCTGCAGTAAATTATGGATCGCTTTCCCTGCATTATATTTTGCATACCTCTTATCCCAGACATTTGTTGGGACAAGGAGAAATTAGGACCCCCACCAACTCCACTCTACAGTCAGACCCATTGAAATGTCTCATGGGAATAAGGTAACAATTCAGCAACAGGAACACAATCTGTTGAAAGTGAAGCGCAAAAGAGGAGATGCAGCCAGCTGCTGTGGACTGAGGTGGAAATGCCGAATGCAAGTAAAAGAGAGTCTGAGCTGTGGGAGAAAGAAGGCTGTGGAAACATCACTTTCAAGTATAACGACAGGAGCCTAGAAGAACCTGTGTTTTTGTTCTAGTTCAATCACAGACCTCCATCCATCCATGTGCCCTCAATGAAGCCTAGTCTATTTGCTTGTCATATCCAACTGTGTGCTCTTTAGTATCCTAAAATTAGCACAGAGATGTTTGGAGGGGTGCAATTTCCTTAACGAGTTAGTAGTCTCCAGTACAAAGTCCAAAGCGAAGAAATCCAAGAGCAGGACAATATCTTGCCAATCCATTGTGCTTGAAAGAATCTTCAGGCCCGAACTATGTCCATTCCCACCCCAACCCATTTCTGGATGTCCCTGCATATCAGAGAACAGAAAAACACACTCAGTGTGTCTGTTGGTGGCTGTCTGTACAATTCTGCTGGCATTTATTCAGTCACTGGTCACCTCTGGCAGCAATTTTTTTGTTCACTTTGAACAAGAGTGCAATGTCTGTCATCGCATTCCGGATGTTCAACCCAAACCGGTGTGCATCCTGCAAAAGGAAAAATGGAAACTAAGGAAATGTAGAAACTCAGGACCTATGCACATAGAATATGTTGAAACCTAAGCTTAAAGCAACACAAAGAGTTCTGGTTTTCAGTTTCAGAAAATAATTCAAAATATCAAGTTGGAATTTCCTAATAGCTCAAATACTGGTGGTGGTGGGGAGTTTCAAGGAGTCGGGTGCTTTATATCTGATAGAGAATTATGGTTGGTAAACAGTGAGAAGGTTGGAAGGAAACTCTGTAGATTTTCCACCTGATGCTGCCCCATCCCTATATACACTCATTACATTCATATCTACAGTGCACATGTATATGAATCTATGCATAGTAGAGACAAGATACAGCTATCCCATCCTGACCTCTGGAGCCAAAAAATGGGCCCACCCATACATTTCAGTGCCCCAAAAGTGCTGGAAGTGGGAGCAGCAAGGAGCACCACAATCTGTTTCATCAGATGGCTCAGGTGGAAAAGGAAAAAGTAAAAGTATCTGTCCGAACGCATCTCCCTCTACATCTTGCCTCAGAGTTTAAGATCTTCTGGGGAGGCCCTGCTCTCGGCCCCACCTCTATCACAAATGAGATTGGTGGGGACAAGGAGCAGGGCCTTCTCGGTGGTGGCCCCTCACCTGTGGAATTCACTCCCCGGGGAAATTAGGTCATCGACATCCCTCCTCTCTTTTAGAAGGAAACTAAAAACATGGAAATGGGACCAGGTTTTTAGGTAACCTGGCAGATAGATAAAGGACAATGACAACTAGAATTGATAGGATTTGACAATGTGGAATGAATTTACGGATTCTGAGCTGGCGAACGTTGAGCATGAGATTGGTTTTATTTATTGTGATGTATAATTGATTGTTTTAATTGTTTATAATTGCTGTTTATATATGTTTTATTTTATTGTTTGTGTAGGCATCGAATGGTGCCTTTTGTAAGCCGCCCTGAGTCCCCCCTCGGGGGTTGAGAAGGGCGGGGTAGAAATGCACGAAATAATAATAATAATAAATAAATAAACAATCTGATATAAAGGCAGAAACTTTACTGAACTCATGGCCATCTCTAGTCTATAACAATGGCTTGTAGGAAATTCAGAATAGATATGGGCCCTGATTCAGATGCAACCACCCAAGTTGTAAACAAATAAACAAACAAGCTATAAATAAATAGCCTCCTTAGCACATTCTCTTCTCCCATCCTGACAAACCTAGATATCCTAGTATCAACTCACTGTCTCTTGGCTGGAGATTTTGCATGACACATGGAAGTTGATGAGATCTTCACCGACAATGATGTATGACACGCCATACCCATTATCATCAACCTAAGATAGAGGATGGATGGAAAGCAACATGAGACAGGACTTCTTCCGGGTGTCCACCATCTCTCATATCAGACAAGCATTCCCAGAGAACTTAGAAAATCTAGTTCACAGATCTATCATCTTGTAAGTTTATCAAGCCTCCACTTTCCTTCCCCCGAAGACCCTAAGAATCTTGGCTCTCATGCCTAAACCCAACTCTACGTCATCAGTTTTCCACCTTTCAGAAAATCCAGGTGTAATTGACTCCACTCACCGGCCCAAATCCACCACCACAAGAAATGTAGTCTGGATGGTTCTGAAGGTCAAACAGTTCCAGCTGCTGGATAGGAGTCTGACTAGTGGATAGACGCCATGGCTCAGACAGCACCTGATTGAGGGGAAAAAGAATTTGGGTCTCACATATGGAGGCAGGGGGTGCAAGTTCTGCTTCTCATTCTCAGGAGAGATAGCGTGATCTTCTATAGAAACTCTGCCCTCTTCTGGTACTTCCACGGAGCTCTGAATTCGCAACACAAACTAATCTTTCAATTGCTTAGAACTTACTTATAGTCTGAATTCATGTTTTTGTGACTTCTGAACTAAGGGGTAACTATTTTCACCCACCCACGCTTATGCGTAGTATACATCTAAAGTCAGCATGGTCTAATCAGCCTTGAAGTAGTGCACCATAGGATACAATGTATTGTATTTTTTTTAATTTTGCACGTATTTACATATTGTTACTCATAAATGACAAAAATATTAGGAATGTATGTTATCTTACCAATCAAATGTTTTAAATATATATATATATATATATAAATTAAATGTTAGAAATTACATCCTTCTTCAAGCCTCCGCTAGTAATTTGTTTTGTATATGATTCTGTTTGCTTACTGTATTGTATATGGATGTTTTGGTATGCAGCTTTCCCCTTACTCTATGTACTTGAGGTTGTGGGAGGGGCTGCCGACCACATGATCAGATCTGGGACTGCTTAGAGATCTCAGACTTCATTAGAACATGAGAACAAAGAGATGCCTTTAGACTTCAGATTGCTTGGAGCACAGGCTCCATGAGATGCTTTATGTTGGAGCATGTAAGATATCAGTTGGTGTATATGTTAACTTTAAAATGCAAAGCACAAAGCTGATTGATAGGGCCATGCTTAGGGAGCTAGCTGAGCCTGGGAGTTTTGGCAACAGTTACATTATTAGGCATGAGCTGTATGTGTGCTTGCAGACAGAGGGAGAGAGTTCTTGCTTCATGAGCTGCTGGAAGGAGATATTCCAAAAGGGCACTGAAAAACAATTTATATCTCTCTCAAAAGGACATGTGAATTGATGCAACTGATCTCATGACTGTAAATATGTTATTCTGTATCACGAAGAGTAAACTACTTCTTCTTTACTGATCACCTGCGTGGCATATTTCTATTCTCTGACAAGACAGTGTGTGGACTGATAAAATGTGAATTGCCTGTGATTTACATTATGTCAACACTTTAGAATTTGGATTGTTGATTATAAGAAAGACGCCCTGTGTTATTTGGAAATGGAAATGAGCAGTTGTCAACAATCCACACGTGCCACAAATCTATCCAGTAACTAAGTTCATTGCTCAGAATTCAACTTTCGTTAGCAGTAAAATCAACATGTGCTAAAACAATCTCACAGGCGACTAATCAGAACTGCTCCAGGCAAATAGATACGTGGCCATATTCAGTTTGGATAAGGGTTTTAAAAAGGAAAAAAAAATCGGTGGATTTATTTTACAACCCAAAAGAGATGCAGCAGAGCAAGCAGAAAGAAAATTGAAAAGCGATTGTGGGAATATAAGCATTCAAGAAAAGAATCCCAGTCAGAAAGAGAGCTTCCTACTTTTCTTTCATAGAGCAAGAACTGATGACAGAGGAAAGAGGTGGAGCTTCTGAGCAATGCTGGAAAGTTACTTTTTTGAACTATAATTCCCAGAATTTCCCAGCCAGCATAGCCAGGTCTTTACAAACTTGCTTTAGACCTGGTTGAAAATATACTTTTTCAGCAACTTCCGTAGACTGTCTTCACCTTCAGAAAACGCTTCTCTCTGGGTAGATAAACAAACCATACGACACCACACAAACCCAGACACCCTGGCCCGACAGACTTACCTCACGCAAAAAGGGGGAATCTAAGCCAAGATATTTGGAGACTACATAGAGGCAGAAGAGGTGCCTGTCAATACCACCACCCGTCATAGCTTGCCGGTAAAGGTTCTGATGTTTCTCGGCTGCCACACGGAACAGGTGTAACCTGGCGCTATCCTGGAATGAAAATCACATTGGCATGTCTAGAAGAGGCTCTGTTGATCTCTCAATTCTTCTAGATATTACTACTACTACTACTACTACTACTACTAGACCAGAATGAATGACATAAAGCTCCTTTCATGGCTCTTTTATGACTATCAGAAGCCAAAATCTTGTTTCTTTGCAATGTGTGTGGGCAATGTTGATCCACTCTGGGCATCAGTAGATGCCTTTTCTCCAATAGAGAAGAAACCAGGGAATGAATGACCTGTTGTACAAAGTCTTTTCTTGCCTTTAAAATGGCCCAGATAAGGCCAAATTATGACAAATTGCCCATCAAAAATATTTTGAGGTGTTGAAACCAGCCAGGGCTCCTAAGGGAACGTTTGAGTCCCTGGCCCCCAAAAGTTGCTTAGCGTATAGCTCCTTCTGAGTCTTTCTGCCAAACTAACATGAAGGATCACCTCTCCACCTGTGTGCCTACTCAGACATTGAGTTCCTTCAAGACTCAAAGAAGCCTAACCTTTTTAAAAAAATTACATTTCAGACCGAAACCCACTTGCATTTCAAGACTCACATCTTGAGTAGGATCTATCATGGCTTTGACAAAGTTGCAGGACTCAATGGTGCAGGAACGGACTGTTTCTGTGCGGCCCTCCCGATAGAGACGGGTCATGGATGCCTCGTATGTGAGGCAGAACTTCTTCTTGTCCTAGAACAACAGAAGGAGGAATGTTGGTTAGGGGGAAAGGAATCATCAAATGAAGATAAGGATGAGATGATCTCTGGATGAAGGGCAGAGTTGGCAATCATATCCTAGTTGGGGTGAACAGCAGCTATCAATAGTGCAAGTACATATAATAATCAGTTATTCTAGGTGAGAGAATAGCTTGGAAACAACAACAACAACAACAACAACGATGATGATGTATCTCCCTAGAAGGTCTGGTGGCAGAGGACTCTTACAAGTCAAACAAACAGTTGAAGAAGAAAAACACCTGGCAGAATATGTCAAGGAAAGCAAAGAACCTGCTTTAATTGAAGTCAGTAATCAGAAACTTCTCAAAGCACAGCAGACAAAGAACCAGTACAAGAAAACTGCACTTCAAACCAGAGCTGACAGCTGGCACAACAAAGCCTTGCATGGGCAGTTCCTTGAAAAAATTGAAGGAAAAGTTAACAAGGAAAAGACCTGGTTATGGCTCATGAATGGAACCCTGAAGAAGGAGACAGAAGGCCTGATTCTTGCAGCTCAGGAGCAAGCCATCAGAACAAATGCCATTAAGGCCAGGATCAAAAAATCAGCTGATGATCCAAAATGTAGACTGTGCAAGGAAGCTGATGAAACCACAGATCATATCCTCAGCTGCTGCAAGAAAATTGCACAGATGGACTACAAACAAAGGCACAACTCTGTGGCCCAAATGATTCACTGGAACTTATGTCACAAGTACCACCTGCCAGCAGTAAAAGATTGGTGGGATCATAAACCCACAAAGGTTGTGGAAAATGAACATGCAAAAATACTGGGGGACTTTTGAACCCAGACTGACAAAGTTTTAGAACACAATACACCAGGCATAACGGTTGTGGAAAAGAAGAAAGTGTGGATTATTGATGTCGCCATACCAGGTCACAGCCACATTGAGGAAAAACAACAGGAAAAGCTCAGCTGCTATCAAGACCTCAAAATCCAACTGAAAAGGCTCTGGCATAAACCAGTACAGGTGGTCCCAGTGGTCATTGGCGCACTGGGTGCCGTGCCAAAAGATCTCAGCCGGCATTTGGAAACAATAAACATCGACAAAATCACGATCTGTCAACTGCAAAAGGCCACCTTACTTGGATTTGCACACATCATTCGAAAATACATCACACAGTCCTAGATGCTTAGGAAGTGTTCGACTTCTGGTTTTTTGATACAAAATCCAGCATATTTTGTATCGTTTGCTGTGACATACTGTGCTTTTGTGACAGTAAAATAATAATAATAATAATAATAATAATGCTTTGTTTATATCCCACATCCTCTTCCCAAAGGGACTCAGGGCAGCTTAAATTCCCAGAATCCTTCAGCCTGTATAGCCAGTGTAGGCTAGAAGGATCTAGGAATTGTATTACAAAACACTTTTTCCAGGTTCTGGGTGAGAAGAAACCCAGTTACATGATAGATGCATGGAATCCAAACCATCCCATTCACAAAAATTAAAGGCCTTAATAAAATCTGGGTCACAAGAAAAGAATGCAAGTTCAAGTGCTAATGCTTTTTAAAAGCCTTTCTCGACTCACCTGGATATCATAGTTCTAGGACAACCCATATCATTTATGGTCTGGGAATATATTTGTTTTTTTAATGTGTTATTGTAATATGAACTATGATGTTTTTACCGATTGTATGTGTTTTTATGGTTGGAAACCGGTCTGAGTCCCTCAAAAGAGGTGAGAAGGTCGGTATATAAAACTTTGAAATAAATAAATAAATAAATCTACCATCACTTGCCTGTTTATCCACACCTCCCTCATGCCCAATGCCCTACCTTAAAATGTGCCAGCTGGAGAGCGAGCTGGATGAAGCCATCTGGACTGGTGCGGCATTTTTTTATGAGACCTTTGCCAAAGTCCTTGAAAGTAAAGGCATGGAAGTCTATGTCACTGGCGAGGTTATAAGCCACCCTGAAGGACTGCATGATCACTTCTTCGCACTGTGGATAAGAGGAAACAAGAGACGAAAAAGGGTAAATGGGGAAAAATCATTCTTCTCTATTTCCCCACTAAATTTGCCTGGAATCCTGATGTGGAGTGACAAATGTTATGCATCAATGCAGTGACTCCTAGCCTTTCCTCCACACTTACTAGGCAGCAATTGCTGCAATTGACAGGAGTCCATTTCCCAATTGCTCAGAAAGCAGTTGACTGATGCTCACGCCTCCTCTTTTTCTCTCTCTGCCCCCCTCTCCCCCAGACCCTGACCTCACCTCTGGTGGGATCTCCCATTGCAGCTTTTGGGGTGGAGGGATGTTAGGGTCCATGTCACCCTTGCAGTTCCCATTATCATCATATCCCAGCGTAAAAGCATCTGTGGCAAGGCAATACTGTGGAAAAAGTACAGACAGGTAAGAGGTGTTCATATATTGCCTCCCTTCTTGCACTTCCTGTTCTAGGTCAGGTTTGGGAAAGCATGGTCCCCTAGACGTTTGGGACTTCAGCTCCCATAATTCCTTAGGTAAAGGTTTTCCCTTGACATTGTCTAGTTGACTCCAACTCTGGAGTGGGGGTTCTAAGCCGAATAGCTGGTGTTGTCCATAGACACCTCCAAGGTCATGTGGCCAGCATGACTGCCTAGAGTGCAGTTACCTTTCTGTAGGAGCGGTACCTATTGAACTACTCACATTTGTATATTTTCAAACTGCTAGGTTGGCAGAAGCTGGAGCTAACAGCGGGAGCTCTCCCCAATCCACGGATTTGAACTGCTGACATTTCAGTCAGCAAGTTCTGCAGCTCAGCAGTTTAACCTGCTGTACCACCATGGCCCCCATATGAAGGATAGCCGAACCCAATTACTACCATCATGCAATTCATTACTGAATTTAGCTTTATTATATTTGGCTCACCCCACTCCCCAGATTCAAACTGCTGACATTTTTGGTCAGCAAGTTCAGCAGTTTAACCTGCTGTGCCACCAGGGGCTCCAGAATTCCTTACTTTAAGTCATATTGGCTACTGCTTCTAGGAGCTGAAGTCCAAAATAGTTGGAGGGTCAATGAACACTCCCTCCCTCACTTGCACCCCAGCAATGTAGAGAGTCCTTGCTTCCAAGCCTTTTCCCCTACCTCCAAATCTCATTCTAGAAGATTCATACAAAACATACCTCCCAAAGGTGCCCCACAATGGGTGCATCAGCCCACGAGTGCTCAGCGTTGAGCCCAGACTTCCCATTGCGGTAAACAATCAATGTGAAAGATTTGTCAAACCACCTGTTAGAAAAGAAAGGGAAGGGCATGTTTGTCATGCCAACTGCAGTCATGAATTCCTATTCGATTGGTGAACGCCAAAGATTAAGCTCTGCAGTCTCATCGAGCTACGTCTCTCTGATATAGTCCAAGTCAGCATGCTCATCCATGGTCAAATCCTGGATGGCTGTTGTTTTGCCATTCACTCTCCTGGCATGAAGCAGAGGCATTTTCAACTCAGAGGGACTGGGTTGCATCTTCATGTCCATCTTATATGTCTGCATTTTGTCAGGGAAGGTATATATTCTTAAGCATATTAGTATGGGTTCTCAATCTATGAGTCCTCAGAAGTTTTGGCCTTCAACTCCCAGAAATCCTAACAGCTTGTAAACTGGGATTTCTGAGAATTGTAGGCCAAAACATCTGGGAACCCACAGGTTGAGAACCACTAATATTAAGGCTTGGGTTTCCTGGGATCTTTCTCTGCTTTTTGATGAGGATCTTGCAAACCAGAAGGTTTGGTGTGAAAACAAAGCAATGCTTTCAAGATAAGGAAGTACCAACCTGTCACAGCAGCGTCCATGCAAGAGCGACTTGGCATAGGCATCCAAAGAATGGCCTGGATTGGGGTCCCTCAGCCCCTGCTCACTGGTGTCCAGGGTGACAAAGAAGGCAGCTTTCTCAACTATGCTCAGCGACTGCTCGTTCTGTCCTGTTTGAAAGAAGGTATTGCGGGCCCGAGCCCAGGGGTCTCTGAAAAGAAATTAGGCAACCATGTATTGTTGGGGAGATGGGGAAAGCATGATTTTTTGTATGAGGGTTGAATGAAAAGTAATGCCTCCACCTTCGTTACTTGGGTTTGGATAGGAATATTTGAATAAATCACTACCACTATTCATTTTTCCACATAATCACCAGACAATTGGATACATTTCTGCCAATGATGAATATGTTTTCTGAAGCCGTTACAGTTCCTGGCAAATTTCAAGTCTGCACGCTTTCATTTCAGGCGTCAGCATCTTGGGTACCCATTGTGCACAGATCTTCCGATAGCCAAACAAAGCAATAATGTGACCCACACATTCTAGTGAAATGCCTATTATGCTTGAAATTTCTCTCTGATACGATGATCATCCTGAATCAATCTTTCAACTTTTTGCTTGTGAAACTCGGTGGTTGCTGTCACTGGACGTCCAACTCTGTTTTTCACGCAAGTCAGATGTTTCCACCTCAACATCTTTAAACTTACTCACCCAACGACACACAGTACTCACATCAACACAATCACTATAAACAGCTTGTATTCTCTGATGAATCTACTTTGGGGTGACACCTTCTGCTGTCAAAAATTCAATCACTGCATGTTGCTTAAGTCACATTTACTGACCATCTGCACAGGGTTCCATACTTTGCACTTCAACAACAAAAAACTGTTCAATGCTATTGCTATGGCTTCCTACCAAAATGGAACTGTAGAGGAAAGTCTACTGAACAAGCCAGTACCTTCCGCATCCCATTGATACCTATTGTATGTCTCTAACTCCAAGCCACCTCCAGATGAAAATTATACTGCGAAAAAGGTTCAGGGCTGGCGTGTTCTCTTACCTGTCGGCCGCAGTCAGGGCAGGCAATTTTTCCTCCCCAGGAGAAGGAGGTGTGGGATCTCCTAGGATGGACTGGAACTGTGCCTGAAGCTCCCGTGGGCGAAGCATCTTCCCGTTGTGGTACAGCGAGACCCGAAATAAGCGCCCAGCATGGTATACAGCAATGTGCCTGCTGTCCTGCAGATGCTGTATAGTATCTACAGAAGGAGGAATGTAAAACCATAAGACAGTGATGATGAACCCTAGGTTCGCCACCACTGCCGTAAGAGCTATGTTAAAATTAGACTAAACGGCCACCTAGAAGCACATCTTGCTTCTTCCCACAGTGAAAAACCAGGAGAAAAGGAAGAAAAGGAGGTAGGACGTGGATTGATGGACTGTAGGATTTGTAGCACAAAACACCCACTGAACGAAAAGCTCTTCATTAGTGCAGTACTACTCTGGTTTCTCTTCAGATTGTATACATCTTTCACCTTTTATAAGTGCAGTACTAGAAGACATTTGCACTTACTTCGATGCAGATTATGGAGAGGGACATGGGACAGTTTGCAGATACAACTTTGTGGTTTATGATGCCAGGGAAGGGGAGCAAATTGCATGAGAACATCCTACCTCCCTCCATGCCTGGTATACGCGTGGTATTAAACATGCGTTCCCACTGAGCTGAGCACATAGGCAGACAACCTTGGATCAACATCTGGAAGAGGGAGAAAGGAGGAGAGAAAGAACGGGAGGGGGAAAAGAGAGAGAGAAAGAACAGTCAAGAAGATATGCCTGCAAAGCAGCTGCGAAGCAAAGGAAAAAAGCGTGAAAGATAGAACAAAAAACTCTAATGTCTTCCAAAATTGGGTGAGAATCCCAAATCAGGCAAGCAAAGCTCAGAATGCAATGTCCAGGAGGATTATCCATATGCAGACAGCTTGGAAAAATGACTTTTTGGACTACAGCTTTCAAAGCACCCCACCACCATGATCATGAGTCCACCACAGTGCAGAAACTAGAGAGCACAGAATATATGTATTTTTAAAACCACCCTAAGGATATGGACCAAGTTGGAAAGATGACCCCATAAAGCAAACACCGAGCAAAAGGCTCCATAGTTAGGGATAAGGTGGCAGTGGCTGTTTCATTACAGCCCTTGTTTCACTTACCCAGCCCCAACCCTGGCAACCGGGTGGTATTGAAGAGACGTTGCCACTGAGCCGTACAGAGGGGGATGACGGAATTGGGGACCATGCTCTGTTTCAGGTAGGAGGGAGCCCCAGGATTAGAGGGGTGGGGAAGAAACAGAATTGTTGCAGTCATATTTAGGACACTTGGTAAACCTAGCAGAGTCAAGGAATCTTTGAAGCCCACGACAATAGTGCAATTGTTAAAGGAACTTAGGAGCCACTTATCAGCCATATGGTGCATGTACACTGTAGAATTAACAGAGTTTGATACCACTTTCACTTCCATGGCTCAGGCTAGAGAATCCTGGGATTTGTAATTTGGTGAGGCACCAACACTCCTTGGTAGAGAATGCCAAAGATCTTGTAAAACTGCAATTCCCAAGGTTCCAGTGCATTGGGCCATGGCAGTTGAAGTGGTATCAAACTGTATTAAGTAGACAGTGAAGTTGCACCCTTACTTAGGTTTGTAAAATAATTATCACCAGTTAAGTGTCTGTTATGAGTCTAATATTTATTCATTCAGCTACTTAAAGGCAACTTCCCACATCCCATCCTTCCCTCAATCTGATTCTACCTCTCCATTTGTTATCTAAAGTAGCTATGCTGGATATGGGCAAACTTGGGTCCACCGGGTGTTTTGGACTTCAACTCCCACAATTCCTAACAGCCTCAGGCCCTTTCCTTTCCCCCCTCAATTGCTTAAGTAGCTGAAAGGGGAAAGGAAAGGGCCCAAGGCTGTTAGGAATTGTGGGAGTTGAAGTCCAAACACCTGAAGGGCCCAAGTTTGCCCATGTCTGAGCTATGCTCTCCACTTCACCATGAATTTTGATCTCACTCACCGGCTTGATCTCCTCCTGGATAAGTTTTCTTCTGTACAACATCATAGCATAGACGAGATTGCCAGCACGAGCAGCCTGGACCGGAGTGGGGGTTACATAAATAAAATCCTAAAACAAATGGATGTGGAGAAAGGGGGGAAATGTTCGGGTGGGTTAGGTGAGCCTAAAAAGAAATTTGTCCTCCCCGGCAACAATATTTTTCTCCCAGTTTCTGAAACTCACCATGGCATAATAGTTGCTATTTACCATCAGGGGACCTCTACTGCGGAGGTAGACATATTCTTCCCACCAGTCACTTACCTGGAAAAGGAGTGGGTAAAACAAAACATTAAAAATACTCAGAAAAAAACAAACAGTGCCCAGAATTAAATGCCCATAGAACCTTTACATTTCCTCACCAATGCCACCAAGTGTGAGGTTATTCCCCCTATACCACCACTATGGTATCAAATGTTGGGACCTTCTTGATGTTGGAAATAGCAAGCTTTTTCAAGCCTCCACTAGTTATTTGTTATGTATATAATTCAGGTTGCTTACTGTATTGTATATGTGTGTGTTGGTTTGCAGTTTTCCTTAACTCTTTAGTTGTGGAAGGGGCTGCAGACCATATGATCAGGACAGGGATTGTTCAGGACTCAGACTCCATTTTAGAAACAGTATGCTTAGAGACTTCAGTAGGAACAGATGTGTGCTTTCAGACTCCATTGGACTTTCAGACTAGACAGAGACTCTATTAGACTCTCGAAACAGAGAGATGCTTTGGACCAGGGATCCTCAAACTTTTTAAACAGAGGGCCAGGTCACAGTCCCTCAAATTGTTGTGGGGGGGGGGGCAGATTATAATTTGAAAAAAACATGAATGAATTCCTATGCACACTGCACATATCTTATTTGTAGTGCAAAAAACACTTTAAAACAATACAATAATTAAAATGAAGAACAATTTTGACAAATATAAGCTTATTAGTATTTCAATGGGAAGTGTGGCCTTGCTTTTGACTGATGAGATAGGATTGTTGTTGTTGTTGTGTGCTTTCAAGTCGTTTCAGGCTTAGGTTGATCCTAAGCGAGGGCCGAGTAAATGACCTTGGAGGGCCGCATCCGGCCCCCGGGCCTTAGTTTGAGGACCTCTGCTTTGGACTATGGACTATTGATTATGAGAAAGATGCCCTTTGTTACCTTACACAGAGAAACTACTTCAAATACTATCTATAACTGTATTCATATGCAAAGTACCTGTATGCTGAATACACGAAGTTTGTGAGTAAACCAACTATGTTACTTTTAAAGAAGTCTATTTATTTTTGTCTCTTGAGAGCATGATTTAAAGGCAAATATATTTTAAGGGAAAGTTCTGTAGATGTTTTTTGAGCAACTAAAAAGAACACTTCTGAAACTCTGCTGTATATATTTGTGCGTTTTGTGCATTGGCATATCTTTGTCCCTAGCAGTTCAAAGAAATACCTAGGTACATCAGTTTAACAGGTGAGAAACCTAATTTTGTTACATAGAGTAATCCTGCCACCAAATAGTCCAATAACCCTTATGTAGAAATCTTAGAGGCACAAGTGTATGGTACAAAATAATTTATTAAATAGAGCCCAACATACATTTAAAATTACATATTTAAAATAGATAAAACCTAACACTAAATCTGTTATAGTTTAGCCTGTGATTATGTCTGATGTCAATGGGGATAGTGGTTTTCCTGATCTTGGGCCTTCAAGTCCTGACCTTGTTAAAAGGCCTGGTTTTGGCCTTGCTGAAAGGCCTGAGGTTTCACATCTTGAAAATGAACAGAGTGCTTCTCCTGTAGATTCTGAAGGTCACATTCCTGAAAGGGGCCCATGGCAGCCTTTCTCTGGAGAACTGTCTTCTGAGGATGAATTGTCAGGTGCAGAAGTTAATGAGATAGAAGATAGAAGGCAAGGCTTTTGTAAACTAAGAGAGAGTTCCCAAGCTCGCCGAAGGTCAGCCCGTTTATTAGAAAAGAGAGAAAAGAGGTCCTTATCTGGTTATAAAGGTAAACAGAATGTTTTCCTTTCGCTTTATGAGACAGGAAAAGCTTTATATGAGACAGGGAAAGGATTTTAGATCAGTCCGAGCAATGTTGGAATTTCATAAACATCTTGTTTCCAAAGAGATTTCTAGTTTCATGTTTCAAGTCTTACCAGGTTCCTGTTCTGTGTATTGGATTTCCCTGCTGCCTTGTTTCTTTTGATTTTGCATCCTTGGATCTTGTGTTTTTACCATTTATCATGAAGTTCATGGACTATCTATTATCTTTGGACTATGCTATTTTGGACTATGCTGTTTTTACCATTTTTTGCTGCTTTACTTACATATATCCTCCAATAAACTGCTTGCTTATTTTACTGAACCGATGTGATGATTAAGAAAAGAGGTGTTCCTGCTCTGGGATACAACACTAACACACATCTTTCACTCTATTCCTAACTCTGATATCCATATCTTCATTCTAACTGTCCTACACACTTCCTTTCTAAAAAAAAAAAACACCCCTCAAATATTCACCCATTCCAATATTCCATACTCTTAACCTCTCTCAAGATACCTTATTACATATACTATACCTCACTGACATAAGTATATTTTATATTAATTTTCCTAATAAACAAAACATAGATACCACAGGTCCATATAATCACCATTTCCCCTTCTCCACTCACATAGTTGGATGCCCACCAAGACTTGAGCTTGAGGTACCACTGCAAGCGAGGTCCAAGGGTCTGTTCAAAGTCACGGGCAAGAGCTGTCATCCGCTGGAATTCGGCATCTGTCGTAAGCGGCCGTATGGACTCCAAATACTAGGGGAGAAGAGAATTATGGGATCAGAAGCTCATGGGTTGTTCTTTGTCTCAACTCATCCCTCTCTCCTACAGCCAGGAGAGCACACCTGTCCTCCCACAAGCCTCTATAAAAGCATGAGACCCTGAAAAAAAAATTCCCTACAAATATGTAGTAAGTCTGCAAGTAAGGTAGAGTGTAGGAACCACAAAAGAGATATATGTCAGCCACATCTCATACAGATAGAATTTGTACGGAATTCATTTGTTTATATGCCATCAAGTATATGGAGCTTGATGGTAGAATGCAAGCTTTGCATGTGGAAAATCACAGGTTCAATCCTTGGTATCTTTGGGAAAAGGGGGCAAGCAGGACTTGCAATATAAAAATTGCAGGGAGGGTTGTTCTTGATCAAGATTCCAGTCAGTTATTTCCTTTTCTGGGATTGTGCTGGTTGCTGTTGATGTGGGACTTTAAGTCATTTCTGACTTACAGTAGTATTGAGGCAAATCTATCATGGAGTTCACTTGGCTTGATTTGTTCAGAGGTGGTTTGTATTGCCTTCGTCTGAAAGAGTACAACTTGTCCAGTGATATCCCATGAATTTGAATCTTGGTCTCCCAGAGTCATATGGCAACATTCAAACCATTACACTGTTAGTATGTAATGCTTTCTAGTATAAAAAGATAAGACACACCCAAGCTAAAGTAGACAATTCTCTATGGATTGGGACCCTATAACCAGGGTTGAAAAGTTCTCAACCCAAGTCTGGATGATTGCAGTTATGAATGTCAACACAAGGGGGCAGTGATCAGCACTTCTTGATGACCTAGACACCCCATGCCTTTACTCTTTGGACCAAACAAGACCTGACAATAATGCTTTTTGTTTGTTTGTTTGTTTGTTTTCAATATGTGAAAGGTTTATTTTTATTAATTAACTAGATTCAGTGGCATGTTAAAATTACTGGGATTTCAAGAGGCACAGAGGAGTAATTACGAGGACCATTTATCTCAGAGCATTCCAAATGTTTCATTTTGGTGACAGCTATTTTAGACATGCATCATTTCGCCACACAGTAATTCAGTTTTACTAGTGGACCAGAGGTGAAACAAACCCCTTATAAGAGATACAGACACATTAAAAAATTGTAATAACAAAACATATGGGGACATAACATGAAAACCTTTTATTTACAGGGTTGTTGTAGGTTTTTCAGGCTATATGGCCATGTTCTAGAAGCATCCTCTCCTGATGTTTCACCTGCATCTATGGCAAGCATCCTCAGAGGTTGTGAGGTCATTTACTTTTATTTACGATTTTAATAATATATGATTTTTTTCTTATTTCACATGACTCAGAGGTTTCTTGTTACAGTCATGCGGCACACTCATATCTACTCACTGCATCTGAAACAATAACATGTTGTAACATACAGTTTGAAAAGCTCTGGTTTATCTTATGGATTAGTATTTGCCTTGGACGTTTATCCTCCCAAACTCCCAAGAGACAGCCAAGATATAAGTATCGTAGGGATTTGTTTATGTGTGGGAGGGTGTTTTTTGTTGTTGTTGCTCCATGAAGTTTCAAAACAACCCTTGTACGCATATGTCACCGTTTTCAGTGTCATCTTGTGAGACTTTTGCTAGAGAATTAGGAGCCTGACACTTTGCTGATTCTTATACAAATTGTCTAGAGATAATAGCCTAGGAACCCAGTCTCATTGTTGATCTGGAGAGAGAAAGAACGAGAAGCAAACTCACCTTCTGCATAGTGTCCTTGAGGGCAGGGACAGGCAAGCGGGGCAGTGAAGCCTGGTAACTATACAACATTGGGGTTCGTCCAGCAAACATCTTCACCAGCGCCTGTTGGAGGGATGAGCAATGGGAAGGAGAAACAAGACAGGCATGAAAACAGAACGATGCTCTCTTTTCCTCTTCTCAGCCTTACAGGCAGCTTTCCACCCCAATACCAGTAGCCTAATCCTGAGCTTTTTAAACTTTTCCATTTGGGATCTATCTTGATCTATTTTTTTATTTATTTACAGTATTTATATTATTCCCTTCTCACTCTGAAGGGGACTCAGGGCAGATCACAGAACATACATATCTGGCAAACATTCGATGCCGTTTATATACTGTACATAGATAGAGATATATATAAGTTTTTCCCATCTTCGGCATTTTGGAGGCTTTGTGCTTGGTTCCAGCCACCCAGGGGCGGCAGCAGGGAGGTGCTGTCACTCCATATAACTGACAAAGAGCTTTGTTCGTAAACTTCCTCCCTTGATCGAATCACCGGCATTCCTTATGGGTGCCTTAGAATAAAAAGTAAAGGTTTCCCCTGACATTATGTCTAGTCATGTCCGATTGGGGGGGGGCTCATCTCCATTTCTAAGCCGGAGAGTTGGCATTGTCAATAGACACCTCCAAGGCCGTGTGGCCAGCATGACTACATGGAGCACTGTTACCTTCCCACAGAAGTGGTACCTATTGATCTATTCACATTTGCATGTTTTCGAACTGCTAGGTTCCTATGCCGTTATACATTGTCATCTACCTTATTAAACCACTTTATCCTAGTTCACGTAGTGGTTTTTCTCCCACCCCCCCCCCTCCAAAATTAGTCTGCTGTTATTGTTGTTGCTAGCTATTTTTGTTATATTGTTTTATGCTGATTTTATGCTGTTTTAATTGTTATTGCTTTATTTTAATTGTATTCTGCCTGGGCTTGGGCCCCATGTAAGCTGCCCCGAGTCCCTTTGGGGAGATGGAGGCGGGGCAGAAATATAAAGTTGTTGTTGTTGTTGTTGTTGTTGTTGTTGTTGTTGTTCTTCTTCTTCTTCTTCTTCTTCTTCTTCTTCTTCTTCTTCTTCTTCTTCTTGAATCTGAGCTGCCAGCCTTTTGGTCAGCAAGTTCAGCAACTCAGCAGTGTAACCCGCTGCACCACCTTAGAATACCTCCCTGCTTTTAAGTGGTACGTATTTATCTGCACACATTTTGCTTTTGAACCGCTAGGTAGGCGAAAACTGGGCGCACCCTGACCTGGGCTTCGATAATTTTTTACGCATATAGGTATATAAAATACATATACAAATCAAGCATTTGCTGAAAACAAACCAGTAACTGATTTTTCCATCTTATGAAGTACAGCTAAAGGATCTTCTGTAAACACTGCACAACAGTTTCATGTAAATGTCTAAAACAGTCGCTGAGCGTGACATTCAAAAAACTTTCTTGTTCAAAATTTTTCAGGATTCCAACACTGAGTAAAGGCAGAGCTTTCCAAACTGGGTGTTGGGGCACTTCAGTGGGTCCCTACGTGTGTTGCGTGAAAAATGCTCCCCCATTTTGCCCCCACAAACAATGGCTGGTGATGTTCAAGCGTAGGTACTGTAACAACTTTTATAATTTGCACAAGTTGTTGACTGAGTTGCAGTAATTACCATTAAAATGGATACATTTCTAATTAAGAAAAGAAAACCTGTTGACAATGATGTTTGTGATGAACCATATAAGGTGGCTACAGAGGAAACGACCCAAGAATCAACTGTAGTACATAAGTGTAAAGGGAAAAAATCCAAACCTCGTTTATGTGGTAATTATATATTATTTTATGTATATATTATATAATATGAAACGCTTATAAGGGTTGCTTTAACCTCCAGTTTGTTTCTTTGCATGTTGCGTGTTCTGACCTACAAGAAGCACTGCCTGAATATCAACCAAAAAATGAGTGCTAGAAACAATATCATACAAAAACTGACTGGCACAACCTGGGGATCACAACCAGATACAGTGCCTCTATGCCTTGCTACTCTGATGCTGAGGACGCATGCCCAGTGTGGAACACATCTCACCACATTGGATGTGGATGTGGCTCTTAATGGGACATGTCGCATTATCACAGGATTGCTATGCCCCACAGCTCTGGAGAAATTATACTGTTTAGCCGGTATTGCACCACCTGAAATCTTCTGGGAAGTAGCAGCCAATAAGGAAAGGACCAAGGCAGTGACATCTCTGTCCCATCCCGTTTGGATATCAGCCAGCATGCTAACACCTTAAATCACAAAATAGTTTTCTAAGATCTACAGAGATACTCGCAGGAACACCTCAGCAAGCGAGAGTCCAAAAGTGGCAGGCTAAAACCCGGAACCTCAAGCCATGGCGGATACTGAATGAGAGACTATCTCCTGAGCACACAGAAGACTGGGCAACTTGGAAGGCACTGAACAGACTGCGCTCTGGTATCACAAGAGGCAGAGCCAACTTTAAGAAATGGGGCCCACAAAGTGGAGTCCACAACATGCGAGTGCAGAGAAGAGCAAACCACAGACCACCTATTACAATGCAGTTGGAGCCCTGCCACACGCACAATGTAGGACCTTCTTATAACAACACCAGAGGTGCTTCCAAGTGACCAGCTACTGGTGAAAGAATATTTAGTATAATCCCAAGTTTTTAAAACTTTGTGCTTTTTAAATACATTGCAACTGTACCCTTGGTTTGCTTCGGATATGATAAATAAATAAATAAATAACCTCCAGTTTGCCAGTAAAACCAAATTACCATGTCATAATAGGATGCACGTCTAAAAAGCATACCACCAACATGAAAAGTTTGGAAAGCTCTGGACTAAGGGGACCCTACCTGGGTTCAGGACCCACAGTTTAAGAAGCAGCGGTCTAGTCCTCAAAAGAGTGGTAAATCTCTGCCTGAGATGGACAAACACTGGATTGCAGCTCTGGAAGGTCTCTGGCCTACATAGTCACTAGCTATGCTGGCTGAGTATTCTGGGTGACTGACAGCAAGCCCTTTCTGCAAAACATACCAGCCAAATTTTTGTGGTGTTGGACATCTTCCCATGCTCCTCATACATCCAGCCATGATAGCACAGCAGCATCTTCAATATGCTGCGCATTGTCATGATGAGGGCCAGCCAAAGGACTGTGGAAAAGGTTGCAGCGCTGAGAATATTCATGCCTTGATCTGACAGATAACCACTGGGTGCAACATGGGGAGAAAGAGAAAGGGAGGAGAGAAGCAAAAAGTCATAAAGTTCAAGTAAAAGGAAACATTTTAGGAGAAAAGGAAGTCCAACTGCCCCTTCTATCCCCACTTCACTGGACTACAAACACATACAAGAACTCTAAGAATGTTGAAGAAACATATTTTTCAGGCTTTCCAAGCCTGGGGCTCTTCAGGTGATTGGATTAAGGTAAAGGTAAAGGTTTTCCATTGACATTAAATCCAGTCGTGTCTGACTCAATTTCTAAGCCGGGTTGGTGCTCATCTCCATTTCTAAGCCAAAGAGTCGGCGTTGTCCATAGACACCTCCAAGGTCATGTGGCTGGCATGACTGCATGGAGCGACATTACCTTCCCGCCAGAGCGCTACCTATTGATCTACTCACATTTGCATGTTTTCAAACAGCTAGGTTGACTGAAGCTGGGACTAACAGCGGGAGCTCACCCCGCTCACCAGATGTGCATCGGCAGCCTTTTGGTCATCAAGTTCAGCAGCTCAGTGGTTTAATCCACTGCACCACCAGGGCTCCCTATGGATTGGATTACATTACCCAAAATCCCCTAACCAAGTTTCTCTGCACAGTACAGAGGAGGGCAAAGCAAGGCCTTCCAAGGCCGCTTTTGTGGATATTATCAATTCTAGATTCCCCAGGGTAACATTTTTGTTGTACCCAAAATGAGTGAACGGACTCATATGGAAGTCTCTACGAATGAGACACAAGCAACATAAAAAAAAATCAATTTTTTTCCAAAATCAGAAGTGAACTTCAGCCTACTTCCAGTTGTATTTATTTTCTTTTAAAAAACATTTTTGGCTATATATGCTGCCTTTGATAGGTCTCTGGAGCACAAAATTGGCTCCAGATTCATTGCAATTGACCACCCAAGTCTAGTATGTCGATCAATATCCAAGACAGTTACTGGACAAAAAGTCCTGGGAAACTAATAAGTATGGTGTGATGGAGAAAGGCATCTTCCACAATTCACCTGCATTATGGAGTCAGATAAACTCTCTGTAAACATGGAGAGGTCTTCATGTTGAAAGCTGAAACCAAGGCAGAAACTTCTCTAAAGTCACTACAGCAAGTGCCACCTTTTGGTAGCATCCTTTTGAAAACCCACTGGCAGTGGTGGTGACGGAGTAACAATGTTGACTTGGTCATCCTCCACTGGATGAGGAGATAGCATTGTATCCGCTCCAACCTCAGGAATTTCCCTACATCTAGTCAAGCAAACCACAGTTCCTCCCGTTCAGATGTCACAATAAATATTTTGTTTCCTTTTGGAAATGAGTTAGAAGGGGGCAGTCTCATGAATATTAGGCGCACTGCAGAATGTTCTTTTAGCAAGAAACCAGTACTTCCCATTGTCGGAACCAAGTCATGTCTCCAACAACTGTAAGCCTTACTAACTAATCTGAGATACCCACCTGCTTTTCCCTCCCTCAACATACCTGACTGGTAGGTGTTCCTTGATCTTGTCAATCATGCCCATGGAAGGGTCAAGGCGGGAGTACTGGGTCACCAGGATGGCAGTAACCATGAAAAGCCAACTGGAAGGGCTGGCAGGGTAGACCCCTGTCACGAAACCATTCTGTTGGAGGAAAATGAATGTTAGGAATAGGGTTCCAAGGTTTGTTGTGAGTTTTCCGGGCTGTATGGCCATGTTCCAGAAGCATTCTCTCCTGACGTTTTGGCTAAGAAGAGCGGGATAGAAATAGAGTAAATAAATAAATAAATAAATAATGCTTTAACAGAATATAGTTACTGTTTCAGACTTTCTAACTACTTTCTTTCACTTCCTATTATGCAGATTATAGGCCCCTTTTACACTGCAGCATATTTATTTATTATTTATTTACTTCATTTCTGCCCACCTTTCTCGACCCAGGAGGAGACTCAAGGTGGCTTACAAATCTGGCAAAACTTCAATGTCGCACAGGTAAATAATAAAGCACATCTCATAAAAATATAAACAATCTAAGCATATAAACCATTAAAACACGTAACAATCAAACAGATTAAACAGATTAAAACCACATATAAAATGCCAAGTCATGATATCATATCAAAGCAGATAATCCAAATTATCTGCTTTGAACTGGATTATAGGAGTCTACACTGCCATATAATCCAGCTCAAAGCAAATAATCTGGATTTTATATGGTAGTGTATAAGAGGCATTAAGCTGAATCTACACTGCCCTATATCCCAGGATCTGATTCTAGATTATCTGATTATTTTAGAGTGTAGACTCATATAATCCAGTTCAAAGCAGATAATCTGGAATCAGATCCTGGGATATAGGGCAGTGTATATCCAGTCCTAGTCTTTTAAGCCAAAATCTTATACATGCTTAGTGTAATCTAAATTTACATCAGCATGGTTTTGCTGGATGCCACATTTACTCAACTCATGCAAGACAGAGCTTCTCCATTATGCAAGTAAGTGCCAATTAGCTTTGCCAAGTCAAACATGAGAAAGGTTTTGTGTCTGCTTAGGAAATGACCACACTTATCACAACGACTTGTGCAATTATTTTTACAGGAGCATGATGCCCCAGTAAGATTCCTGTCAATCTCATTAAACTGTTGCAATTTCCCCACACACAGGGAAAGTATTATTTTCATATCAAAGATGGAAATAACACACCAAAAGAATATTTGAATTACTGAGTAAGATGTTGGAAGGACATACTAAACTTTAACTACTGGAGAGCAAACATTGGGCCATACTTCATACTGGTTGACCTGGTTCTCTGATAAACCTATGATTTTATTCCCTGAAGATTATTACTCATGTGTCCCAGATCTCCAACTTCTCCAAACTTCTTACTACAACTTGACAAACATCGATCACAGCAAGTACCTACAAATCTTCTAGATTACAATTTAATCCTTTGTAAAAGTCTAAAATGAAAGATTGCAGTTTCCAGGAACAAACTGAGATATAAGAAGCCCTGAAGTCTTTGAGTTAACAGACATGGTTGGGTTTTCTCAACAGTGGCACTCCATTACTCAAACTCCATCTGTTTTTAGACCTTCGGTTGTTCGCTAAGCTCTTACTTCAGGTACTAGTTACAACATGTGTTTGTTTTGTTTCCCACTGTTGCTTGTTTGTTTTGTATTTTAGTAGCCATTTGTAATTTATTGCTTTAGATATCTGCAATGGGTGATTTTTTGATATTTTCCATTTGTGCCTTTTCACTACAGGTAGTCCCCAAGCTATGAACAAGATTGGTTTGTTCTTATGTTGGATTTGTATGTAAGTCAGAACATGTACATTTTTTCAGCATAACTCCAGATAGTTAGATGGATGGATGGATGGATGGATGGATGGATAGATAGATAGATAGATAGATAGATAGATAGATAGATAGATAGATAGATAGATAGAAGCTCTGGATAGCACAGGGAAAGGTTAACACCCCTGTGGTGTTTGTTTTCCTATCTGTGTCCCTGTTCAGAAGATTTCACTTCACTTTCTGTCCCTGTGATAACTGGATTTTGGAAAATTTGATTTGTTGGGGAAACAAGGATTGGTGAGAAAGCTTCACTGGAGACATCTTTTACTCGTGACAACTCTGTTAGAGATGTAAGGAATCATTCTGTGTGTGTGCGTGTGTCAACTGTAAAATAATATGCATGAAACTGATTGATTGGGCTATGCTCAGAGAGATGACTGAGCCTGGGACTTTTGTATACTCTTACATTTTTGTTCAGGCTTCAGCTATGCAGGTGCTTGGAGCAGCAGACAGAGTGAAGCAGAGAGAGACAGAGTTTGGAGTGTGCTCTCACTTCTTGAACTTGCTGAAGAAGTTCAGCATGGACAAAGAAAGCCCATTATCTCTCATAAAAAGGACATTATGTGAGTTGATGCAACTGACCCCACTGTAGATGTTGTTCTGAACTACAAAGAGTAAACTACTTGTTCTTTATTGTTCATCTGTGTGGCATGTTTTCTTTCCCTGGTAAGGCAGTGTGTGGGCTGATCAATCGTGAACTATGCATGGTTTATTTTTACATTACGCCACAAACTTCCCTTCCTAGGAGTAGATTTTTCTCACTTCATGTTGTCTCACCCGTGTTCTTAACTATGATTTGTTTGTAACTCATATGTTTGTAACTCGGGGACTGCTGAATTTGTTTTTATGCAGCTAGTTGGTTGCCCTGAGCAACTTTGAGGAAGGGTGATGCATAAATCAAATTATCATATTTAATCGAGTATAATCTGCTTTAAGGAGTGAATTTCCCTTCCTAGGAGTAAATTTCTCTCACTTCCTGTTGTCTGATCCCCATTATTAACTATGAGATGTTTGTAATTCAGATGTTTACAACTCGGGGACTGCCTCTATTTTTTTTATGAAGATAGTTTTTTTTATGTAGATAGTTGGCTGCCCCAAGCATCTTTGAGGAAGGGCAACGCATAAATCAAATTATCATATTTATTTGAATATAATCTGCTATTGAATGTATTACACACCTCAAATTTGGCAATGTACTTTAGCCAAAAAAGTGAGCATTAGACTCGAGTAAACATGACAACAATAATAAGCATCACTGCAAAGTCATTCTTGAAGTTGAATGTCTGAACCTGTGACTTACTCGTAGCTGGTTAAATTTCTTCTTCCAGGATCTCACGCCCGAAAGATAGATCTCCTTGAAAGCTACATGGCTGAGTTGAAGGTCAATCCCCTCCGGAGAGACAGTGAACTGGAAAGCCACAGCCTGGTGAGCTTCAGCCATCTTAATGGGATGCTAACTTATTGGCTAAAGAGAAAGACCAAAAAAGAGAAGCACATCACATAAAAACCACACCTAAAACCTCTTCAAATTTCCTTTTTGTATTTTGCCTCGGGGGAAAAAAGATTTATTTATAGAATCTATATCCCAGCTTTCTTCATCTGCTTCAATACGAGGCAGAAAACCAGACAATATGAAATATGGAAACAACAAAATAGCATGAATAAAATAATTTTGAAAACAAGAATGTGAATATGAAATAAGTATTGTTTGGGCATTTCATGCTCACTATTATATGATAAATCACATCAGCAAAATATTCTTTCCATCCTAATTTTTCTGGAGCAAAAGATCTAGAATATACTAATAATGTCAGAGGCAAGAAAACTTATTCCTGGGTTGTTGTGAGTTTTCTGAGCTGTATGGCCATGTTCCAGAAACATTCTCTCCTGACGTTTCGCCTGCATCTATGGCAAGCATCCTCAGAGGTTGTGCGATTATGAGACGTCATTGATGCAGGTGAAACGTCAGGAGAGAATGCTTCTGGAACATGGCCATATAGCTTGGAAAACTCACAACAACCCAGTGATTCCAGCCATGAAAGCCTTCGACAAAACTTATTTCTGTTTTGCAGTTGATTCTTGTATGAAATTTGAGCTCTCTTACTCCGAAGACACGGTTGCGTAAGAAAAACAAAAACAAGGAAAAGGATTGCTCTGTAGGTTGTTTCATTGTTATTGCATATTAAGTTTCTAAGGCGAAGCAAGGTCTCCCAAAATCCTCGTCCAACACTCAAACTACTATACAAACCACTATACAACACTGGCTGTACAGGGGTGTCAACATCTGCCTTGGCAAACATCTACACACCATTCTTCCTGAAACTGTTGCCCGTACATTGTGTCTGACTACATCTTCATTCCGCCATACCTATCTAATACAAGATAAAATCTTATTGCTTATGTTTAATTATTCTGTAGGTCTATAAAACAATCAAATGATCTCTTGAGAGAGAACTTCATCATCCGCCCTCTCCGCAGGGTTTGCAAGATAGAGCCGCTGTCATGTTAACCAGCATGAGTCCCTATATTGTGGTGGAAGAGTGGGATAAAAACAAAATAAAAATAAATAAATACATCTCACACGAAGCAAGAAAAACCCAAACATCCCAACTCTTCCTTCTTGCAAATGTTGGTGGTCACTGTGAAGCCAGGAACTAACGCAGAAATTGGTTTCAAAGGAAACCTCCTCCCCACTCAAGCATCCAGAATTCCCTCCCTCTCCAAATGTTAATTTTTGATGAAAGCGCAATGGGAAGAATTAATTTCCAAAGCAAGCACTTGAGCCTTCTGCATAAAAAAATGCTATATACTTCCTGCCAGATGCAGGCTTGGCTGCTATGACAACAGTCTCCTCTTGCTAGGCAATGAAAGGGAGTGGTAGAAATGCTGGCATAGACAGGGTAAGAAAATACTTGGCTAAGTAATTCTAGAATATAATGGGTTTGAAGTTTCCTCATGTACGACCCCTATTATTTTTCCCTTGTCAATGAAAGACACTATTATCTTATCAGAAACTTTAGAAGGTTTGATCTATTTGAAGTTCATCTACACAGTAGAATTAATGCAGACTGATACCTCTCCAACTGCAGTGGCTGAATGCTATGGAATCATGAGAGTTGTAGTTTCATAAGAACTTTAGTCATCTTTGCCAAACAGTGTTGTTGCCTTAGCAAACTACAAATCTCATTATTCCATATAATTGACCCATATGATATCAAACCGCATTAATCCTACAGTGTAGTTGTCCCTTTGCACTGTGGCGCAATGGGTTAAACTGTTGACCTGTTGAATCTGCTGACTTTAAGGTTGACAGTTCAAAGCCGTGGGTCGGGATAAGCTCCTGCTGTTAGCCCAAGCTCCTGCCAACCTAGCAGTTCGAAAACATGCAAATGTGAGTAGATCAATAGGTACAGTTTGGCCGGGAAGGTAATAAAGGCACCCATGCAGCCATGCCAGCAACATGACCAGGAGGTGTCTACGGACAACAGAGTCCTCAGCTTGGAAATGGAACATGAGAATTTATTTATTTATTTATAACTTTTATATCCCGATCTTCTCACCTCTGTAGAGGGACTCAGACCGGCTTACAGCAAGGATTCAATGCTACTAATACAAGTTAAAACATCATACAATACAAGATTAAAATACATATAGATGAAATACATATATGCCAAATCACCAAGGTAAAATCATGTTCAACTCAGTCTGCATATGTGGTCACTCACTTTGGTCTGTAACCAGTCTCAGCCATTATTCTGGGAATGCTTTGTTCCATAACCAGGATTTCACTAGCCTCCTGAAGGACAAGAGGGAGGGGGCAGAGCTAATCTCGCTTGGGAGAGAGTTCCATAGCTGAGGGGCCACCACAGAGAAGGCCCTGTCTCTCGTTCCCACCAAACGCGCTTGCAAAGCTAGTGGGACCAAGAGCAGGGCCTCTCCGGAAGATCTTAACGTCCTTGATGGTTCATAGGGGAGAATGCGTTCGACAGGTAAACTGGGCCAGAACCGTATAGGGATTTATAGGTTAAAACCAGCACTTCCCCATGGCCAGAGTTGAGCATCACATCCAGAAGTTGGAGATGGAAGAGGATGCTTTTACCTTTGTTCTGTGTATTTGTTTGTCATAGTTATTCCACTGTATTAAAGGCATTGAATATTTGCCTATCTGTGCATGTTGTAATCCGCTCTGAGCCCCCTCGGGGAGATAAAGCGGAATATAAATAAAGTATTATTATTATTATTATTATTATTATTATCTAAAGATAATAATTTAAATGATTAAAAAATCAAGTCCTGTTTGCTATCAACAGTTCCAAACACTGAAATTCACCAGTATCTTTTCACAACTTGGTGTCATATATACCGAACTATTCCAGCCAGTAAACCCTACTATCAATTCTCAGAAATACTCTGGAGCTATAATAAGGATGGGATTCTTAGAAATACTGTTACCTGGCTCCCTTTCCCTGCTGTACATAGACTTTTCCCCAAATTCATGGGCAGAGTTCGACCATATTTACATATTACAAATGGTAGATTGTGCTGACTTCATTGGCAATGCCAATATGAGGTCACAATACAATGCCTGGAGGACAATGCATGAAGCATTAAGGGTGACACAGCGTATAGAAATGGAAAAAGAGGGGTGCATCTTAGAATTGAGGGTGTTTTTTCTGTTGGTGGTACTGAAATTAGCATTACAATCAATAGAATCTATATAAATGAAAATGTAATGTTGTGGGATTAACAGAACTCAAAAACCACTGGACGAATTGACACCAAATTTGGACACAAGACACCTAACAACCCAATGTATGTCCTTCACTCAAAAAAAAATTGATTTTGTCATTTGGGAGTTGTAGTTGCTGGGATTTATAGTTCACCTACAATCAAAGAGCATTCTGAACCCCACCAATGATGGAATTGAACCAAACTTGGCACACAGTTCTCCCATGACCAACAGAAAATACTGGAAGGGTATGGTGGGCAGTGTCCTTTGGTTTTGGAGTTGTAGTTCACCTACATCCAGACATCACTGTGGACTCAAACAATGATGGATCTGGACCAATCTTGGCACGAATACGTAATATGCCCAAATGTGAACACTGGTGGAGTTTGGGGAAAATAGATCTTGACATTTGGGAGCTGTAGTTGCTGGGATTTATAGTTCACCTACAATCAAAGAGCATTCTGAACGCCACCAATGATAGAATTGAACCAAACTTGGCACACAGTTCTCCCATGACCAACAGAAAATACTGGAAGGGTTTGGTGGGCAGTGTCCTTTGGTTTTGGAGTTGTAGTTCACCTACATCCAGAGATCACTGTGGACACAAACAATGATGGATTCTTTGGTTTTGGAGTTGTTCACCTACATCCAGAGATCATTGTTGACACAAACAATGATGGATCTGGACAAAACTTGGCACGAATACTCAATATGCCCAAATGTGAATACTGGTGTAGTTTGGGGAAAAATAAAATCTTGACATTTGGGAGTTGTAGTTGCTGGGATTTATAGTTCACCTACAACCACAGAGCATTCTGAACCCCACCAATGATAGAATTGGGCCAAACTTCCCACACAGAACCCCCATGTGGGCCACAGCAACGCGTGGCAGGGGATGGCTAGCCTTAGAATAAAATAAATACAGGCATCATGCCATAACAAGAAAGTATAATGGCTCACACATGTAATAGGATTTCCCCCGCTGTATACTGTGCTTTGTTTATAAATAGTGCGGTATTGCAAATTGGCAGCACACTCATAGATACTTCCCTTGGTGCCTTCAAATCACTCTGCTATACCTGCTTTGTTTATTGAATGTTGAAACTTTAAATAAAAATGAGTCACTCAAATGTGCTTGAGGATGAACCACAGTCTCCAACACATGCCGATTTTATCCTCAGTGCATCTGACATCACTCAAAATGCCATTGCTCAATGCCACAGAATCCTGAGATCTGTAGTTCACTGTCAGAGAAGGGCAAACAGCTCACAAAACTACAAATCCCAGAATTCAATAGCATTGAGCCATGACAGATAATAATGTTCAACTCTTTATCAATTTACAACATAAATGCACAATGCATTGTTTTGCAATGTCAATTGCATTTTTCTGCTTTGCCATAATGAACGTTCAGACACAAATCCAATATTTCCTATTAAATTACAGACTGATTTGATCTATTCCTTATCTGGAATGCTCAATAACCCAGTTTTTGGCCCAATTTGAAGGATAGCCTAACCCAATTACTACATCTTGCAGTTCATTTACTCTTTTTTATTGTGTCAGGAGTAACTAGAGAAACTGCAAGGCTTCTCTCATGTCACTGCATGGGAAGCTGGAGCTGACATACGGGGGCTCACCCCATCTTGCAGATTTGAACTGCCAACCTTCAAGCCAGTAGTTCAGCTGCCACAAGGCTTAAACCCATTGTGCCACCGCAGTTTCTAGTTCATTAT